TACTTAGAATGTACTTAAGTTCAAAAATTTGATCTAAAATAATTAGTACCAGGCTCATTGTCTATTTTTATAATTTATATAATATATTAAAATTAAAATATTTGATTAAAGTAGCGATGAAACTGTTACTTTTTTATAATTTAAAAATTCAATGTTATTGATATTCTACTTTTTCAAGACTACTAAACTAGCTGTCAATTGCAGGAATAAATGCACGTTTACCACTCGAACTTTCAAGTATGAGTTCCATTGCATTGGTGTTACATGCTCATGAATCACATTGTTTACTATATACTTAATATCGTATTACTATATACTTAAGAAGTACTTAGCTTAACCCAGTGAAAAATATTAATTTTATTTAACAGATAAACAGTAAGATTTAGCTATCCATGAAGTTATACTATATACTGTATATATATATTGTTCTTGTTGAGACCTATTAGGCTGGTACAGAAGAGTAAGTTTCTCGACCTATACTGATATAACTTATAAAGAGTGGAAAATAATAGTTACACCTGGATCATCACAGTTATCGTATTAACATCCTACAAAATTATTAACAATACTATATACAATGAAAACAAAATTAAAACGATACCAAAAAACATATTTATTTATGTTAATATGTTTCAATATTAGCGAGGTGGCCAAGTGATTTCAGGGATATAATAAATTATTAATTTAGCAAGGATCAAATCGCGATCTTAATTTATAAAAACCTAAAAGATTGAAAGATTTACATGAAAGATTTACTAGAAGCTAAACGACACTCTGGAGACTATAGCTAGAATTTGGGTATATACATAGTTTTGGAAGGTATATTAAGCAATTAAAAGACGATTAAGCAAAGAAACTCAATTATTTGTTTATTTAGGATCAATAACCCAACAAGGGGAGGTAGGACGAGTTATCCTACAGTTAACCTGCCAATATTCTGTCTAGACTGAGAAGATAAAGATTTAATAATCATATAATATTCAAAACAGGATTTTGTTTAACATTTTAGTGCGAAAAAAAATTCAAAATTTTCTTTTCCCAATTGAAGCATTGTTTATTGCCGAAGGAAATAACAGCTTTAATCTAAAATTAGCAGTTATAACATTTGCAAGGTTATTAATGTCAACACAAGCATGTTAAAATGATTATGACGTTGTATATCATTATAACCATCTTGTAACTTATTATAACCATATCTTCACCAGTCTTACACAAACTGCCCTCGGTCTCCCCCCACGATTCGTCAATACAGATCTATTCCATATATCTCTTAATAAATTAGATTGCAAGATGGTCAAGATCTGAGGTTACAATAAAGAAAAGGCACTGTTAAATATATGAAATCATAGATAAATTCAGATATGCAAGTTCACATATGTTTACACATGAACAATGTGGGTGATATATAATTTTCTGTCAGATAACATTAAAGCAATTAACAGAACTGAAAAACTTAACAGAACATTAGCTTATTAATCAAAAAAGCTATAAGTTCCAAATTCCCCCATCTACAAATAGTTTTCAAAAATAACAGTAAGAAATCTATACACCAAACTCAAAGATCCCGTTCCGCTCCTACAACAATCAAATATAGTATACCATATTACATGCTCTAGCCCAAACTGCGATTCTTCTTATAGTAGGAGAAACCAGAAACTATTTTTTATTTTTTTTATTATTATTTCTTAATGATATTTAAAACTGTATCAAATAAATACATCTAGTAAATTTGAACATATGGATATAATGATATGAAAACACTTGCCGAGTAACTACCCAATGCACCCTAATGATATGTCTACATAAGGAGATCACGGGGCCATCTTCTTTTCAGACGCCTTAGAGGATTATCAGGAATTGAAGAGGAAGCAAGATTAGAAATGAGAGGGTTGGGATGATTCTGAAGTTTATTATGGAAGGATAGGTATCTGGATTGGGCCAGATCTGAAACAAAAGAAACATTAAGGTCATTATGGATGTTTTTTTTTTTTTTGTAACAAAGTAGGGATCATTAAGGATTTTACGAAGGATTTTGGATTGTAAGGATTGGATACGAGAGGAATTCGATGGTTTAGTGGAGCCCCATAACTCAACTCCGTAAGTCCAAGTAGGCCTTATTATAGTCATGTATATGAGTCTTTTGTAATTAATTGGAAGATTAGAGCGTTTGTCTAGTAAGTGCTGAAGTAATCGGAAACGTCGAGCGGTTTCTTGTCGTTGCAGTCGAGTATGAAAAGCTATTTAAAAATCGAATGTATCAACACAAATACAGCATCTTCACACGAAACCCGTTCGCCTCGAAACTAGCGGAACACGCCATAACCCTCAACCCACACATTTGATTTTGAAAACCCAACCATACTTGCCACAGTTTCCAATCACCAAAAACGTCTACTTTCGGAATTTATATTCATTAATTTGGAAAAAAATAATCTGGTAAACCACAAAGTAGACAAAGAAAAGATCTGCAACACATATTCGAATATTTTCCGCCTCCTAAAACAATAAATAGTCTATAATCATCGAATTTTGTTTGTTATCTTTCCCTATTTACCCGTATACTTACCTAGGTAATTTACATATTATATACATGGGGGTAACTTACATAGGTACCCCGTCGTCAACTTACATAATAACTCCTAAGGTTATTATATGTAAATAAACAAATAATAAATTTTAATAATATTATACTTCTTTTATTTGTACTAAACTCATTCGGGAGAGGTATTAGGATAGCAGCATCCCAAAGGAGCTCACGTTCCTTGGGTTAAGACAGCTTTTACTTTAGAGGCTCCTGTGAGCTTATGATTCCCTTCTGCATTTTCTTCAATCTAACGTCCGTCTTCCGCCCTATTATTTATTATAAATACCAACCAACTAACTAACTACTTACTTATTATTATTATTATTATTATTAATTACTACTTAAAATTTATATTAGCTGTTTATTTATATTTTTAGCTAGCCTAGTTTTTTTTTTATATTCAAATGTTCTCAGAACATATTTATTAAAAAATATACATCGTAAAATTAAAAAAATATTTATTAAATCTTTTTATCTATACTAGTACCTTTGTATACCTTATTCAATTAATACCTTAATAGCATATATCTTATCTATTTAATACAATATAGGCATTAATCACTAGTGGATCCAAGATTTAATTTTGGAGGGGGGGGGCTTCAGCCCGAAAGATTTTATTTTCATATACATATAACGATAATTAATTTGAACAAAAATAAGAAATTAATTACCTATATGAAATCGTGTTTAAGTTGTTCTTGAAGTCCTATTAAATATAATTACACGAACAAGAATATTTTAAGAAATATTTTTTAATATTTTTTTCTGTAAAACATTTATCTATACCTATTTATTAAACCTATTGATTAAAAAATGTACATTAATTGAACCTATATCTGTAATAAAGACTCTTAAGAGTATGTGCCATTTTTATGGAAAAACGCTTTAACTTCAGTGTAGTCTCAAGAATGTTTTAATCAAAATATAAATGATGTTAGTCCGACTATTTTTATTTCCTCATTTTTATCTCTGTCGTGGTATTCTAAATTGAGTGAGAGTGATAAAAGGTGGCAAGCAGGTTTCGAAAAATGTAAACCATGCATTTATATAACTGCTATAACTACGAAGAAGAAATAGGACAAAATATCAGGATCTATAAAATCCACTAAGGATGGGGAGGAGGTGGTTGAAATTTATTTCGTGGCCGCCATTAAAATATTTTAGCAACCTTTATATTTAGATAGACCTCTCTCCTTTATGTCAGAGCATAGAAACATTTAAATATTGAATTTATATATTTAGTAAAGGTTTCACGCATATGTGTATGTAAATGTACCATGCAAAACAAACATTTGCTCCGACATTTTTATTTAAAATCGTTGTACGTAATGTAACGGTCGTTATCTTAGTTCGAAAGCTTTTTCTGTGTGTTTTTCTAGATAACGTGGCCCCAAGTGATAATTCAGTCGAATGTCGATGCAAGGTGAGGTACTTGGAGGTCATGTGATTCATTTTGTGAAATTCGTTTAAGGTCAAGTTACTTCCAATCAAAGTTTTAGCATATTGGCATTAATATTGAACCCTCGGTTCGCAGCAATTATTTAAGTTCTCATGTGGCTCTATGAAAAACTTCATTTTGGCTTTATGCTGACTAATCTTCTGACATCCAACTGAACAAAACCGGAAAACAGGGCGCATCTCAGTAATTATAAGTAATCTGAATGCAAAACTATTAAACTGCATAAAATGATATTTAGCTTGTTAACTGGGTATGACGAAATATTTCGTCATACATGAACTACTATTGCAATTGGCGTGACGACATTTGCCGTAATATTTTGAACGCATTAAGTTGTATGTAGGTCTTATCTCCCCTATAACCTATATAACGCATATAACCCCTTTCTTATCCTCTATCAAGGATATAATCCCTAGCGTGGTTAGCACAGATCTCTAAGCGCCTGATTATATCCTATTTAAACTCATGTACTCATTTTACGGTTCCATTCTGAGAATTTACTACGCCTGCTCTTCAACCGAAAATTTACTATATACTGCTTCGGCTTGACTCACGGGCGGATCTACGGGGGGGGGGGGCTTTCGGGCTGAAGCCTCCCCCAAAATGGTAAAATATAACCATGTTTTATCGAAAAAAATATTTAAAAAGTATCTCTTAAAGTATTATTATTCATGTAATTACATTTAAAAGGGCTTTAGGAATAACTTAAACACCATTTCATACAGGTAGTTAGTTTCTTTCTTTTTTTCCAAAGTAATTATCGTTATTTTTATGAAAAAAAAAACTTTCGGGCTGAAGCCTCCCCCAAAAATAAATCCTGGATCCGCTAGTGGCTTGACTAATTCAAAATTTTGGTATTTAACATTAAACGCTGAGGACATTTGTGTAGAGAAAAAACTAAACAATATCGTATTTAAATTTAAAGTGTTCAAAGGGAAAGTATGAAAACACAGAGACTATAATAAATAAGTACATTTTTAATTTATGATACAAAATATATTTTTACCCTCTAGTGTTCAAACATTCGCAACTTCAAGTTCCGGAACTTCGTCAGGATTTTCTCGAATTACAAGCCACTCTAAGTAGCTGTAACAGGCCTCACGCAACTTCTCATGTGGTAGTCTTTTTATCAGAGTTTCGCAGTGATTATATTTTTCTAGCATATGCTCAATATATAACTTCGGCATGTTTATCTGGTCATATAGTTCTCGTACTCTCTTCATCTTGCCTTGGTCAGCCGAGCCATAGCACTCCTGAAATTCGGACTATTCTTTTATTGGCGTAATTTACAAAAGATAGATAATGAAGCAGAAATACAACGAAATTTGATTAATTATATATATATATCAACTAACATGTAAGCCAAATATATAAATTTTAATCACCATAAATTCTGCAGCTTGGGTGGGGTTGAAGATCTCCATCGCTTTGGCGCTAACCCAAGTTGTTCCACCGTTAATGAAATCGCATGATGGTTTGCCATTTTGTTCCGATGAGCTGTAATAATCATTGAAGTCGTCCTGGAACATAGCAGTCCCAAAATAATTATTATTATAATATCACAATTTACAAAGTTAAACACTTCAACATCTTTAATTAAAGGTGGGGATCATGAAAAATTATATAAATCTCTATAAAGAATTGCCTTTCGAAGAATTTTATGACAAAACCGAAAACATTTTGATATTTTAATAAATTTGTAAAAACATAGAAAACTTTAACATAATAACTACCACTTACCCACGTTTGTATAAGTTGTCCAGCTATAGTGAATATCTCCACTGTTTTGTCAATCAACTCTTGAGATAAGATTCCAGCCTAAAAATAGTATAAGTTGTATAATTAATTAATTAAGTTAAAATACACTAAGAGTATCCTAATATTTTTTCTCTATCATATTTTGAATTCAATAAAGTAGATCGGATACTCAATTTAAACATGGATTCAAAATATAAACAAACCGTAAGTCATACTTTTCGCAAATCTACAGTTCTGAATACTCGAGGCTGACAGTGAAAACGAAAGTAAAATTATTAAGGAGAGATAACATCCGGGGTGGCGGTCATAAAAAGACGTTTCGACAAAACTTTGCAAGTCTTCTTCAGAGGTGTGAACAGCATGGAGTTTCGGTTGAAACTATGAAACTGAAACTGTCCACACCCCTGAAGAAGACTTGCAAAGTTGGGTCAAAACGTTGCCTTGAAATAAAATAGTTTTTTTCACTGTTTGGATTTAAAAATTGACAACAGTTTGAATAGTCGCGCGATCTCAAACCAAAATAGAGCATGTGTGAAAAATAATTTATAAAGTTTTGCCAATTGTGTGGCGTGGGAATTTTTTTTTCCTCGCGAGTTTGGCGATGTTTCATCCATTACGCTGGTGGGAACTCTTTTGATTCTTATTTCTGACCCTAAAAAGAAAACCTCCTATAAAGGGAAAGACAATATAAATTATTTCTCACAAATTCCCAATTTTGGTTTGAGGTTACAATAAGCAGGTTCGATATTTAGTATTTTAAATATTTTAATCCACGTTCAACTAACCTTATCATCAACACTATTTTTTTCCTTTTCGCCTCCCTAACACGACGTCACATTAAGATAAAATTTTGAATTATAGCCTTTTACAGAGAGGATGAAATTCTGAACAGTTTCCTCGCTTACAGCACGCAGGCCCGATTTATAGTTTCTGAGATATTTTAATCCATACGTATAAATATTTTAATTAGTCGGCTCTAGCCGACTTTACCCGAGCGTTACTGTCGAATGAAATCTGACTAATCTAATTCTCTCCCCACAAAAAAGTGCAAAACGCCTAAAGAGGTTTTCACTTCAAAAACGCTTACTTTAATAAATATAAAATTAAAAATTAGTCGAATGGAGAAATTCTTTAAATCGAGGGTTAAAACTTTTTAAATGTTATTCAACTTAAAAGTAAGTTCGACAAGTCAAAATTTTGATTTTAACATTACTTACGTGAATAGCTGCAAGCGCTGGGCCAGTCGCGACGAATTGTCCGGCTTTGTAGTAATTTATACGCTCATATTCGTCCATTAATGGAGATCTGTTTGACTGTCCTAGTACATCTATTGTTTGTCCAATTGCCAACTTTATATAGGCCTGATATCATACATCAATTAATATGATAAATTATTAGAAGAAATCTTTTGGATTATAAAATAAAACAAATTGTAATAATATTTAACTAAGATAATTTCTATTTTTCAGGAAAATAGAGATATAGGAATCATGTAAAAAACAAAGATATACGGTTAAGCCAAAAATTTATTAGGCAGATAAGAACGACTTTGAGAATTATAGAGGCTTTGTGAAGGTCCTGAGAGAGATGTCCTTACAAAATGTTATTTTTTAAAAAAAAGGTTTACATTGATAACTTCCGTTCCTAGTAAAATGGCAATGAAAATAAATATGGTTTTCGCGTTTAGGCATTTCACAAACTATGCAAAACACAATGTTTTTTCAACAAAGTAATTTTGTTTCTTGTTTTTTATGTTTTCTATCTGTTGTCGGCAGCAAGAGAAATAAAAAAAATCTGGTGTGTCCACTCACACGACTTTCCTATCTATTTCAGAAAACTTTTTTTATCTTTACATATGTCTATCAAGAAAAAACAAAAATTGAATTAGATTTATTTTCCTAAAAATTGATCAAAGAAAAAATTTGAGTACGATTTATACGATAAACTAAAGCAATGTAAACCGGCTTAAGGTAGATCAGTGTAAAAATTTCAATACCCTCTAATATTGCAGTTTCTGTTAAAAGTAGAGGAAATAGTGAAGCTTGTGTGATGCGAGCAACAGATTTCCTTACTTATCATTTTTTTCTCATTCACCCCTTTCTGACAAAAAGATATGAACCCGTAATCTTACATTGGAAATTGAATAGCTGAAACTTTTTGCAGAGAATTTTGTTACCTTTCAAAAAAATAGGCTAAAATGTGTTTTTCAGGGCTCTGAAACGTATAGATCCATCAAAAATCGCATATCGGAAATTTGACCCGATTGCAATACTTTCCTTACCTAGTATAAGTAAGAAAGTAATAAATTAAAAAAGAAAATAGAATATGCTGTATCATCGCTATAACGGGTTCGATTCCGATGATTTATTTTTTGTTTTGTTGGTACTTTAATTACATTTAAAAGTTTTAAATTTTACGATAGAATATATACTAAGCGAGTTATGACCCAAAACATTTCTCTTTCCTTTATAACTTTTTTTCCTGAGTTTTCTCGGGAATTTAGTCCTTACGAACATTGAAATGATGCTTATTAAAACTTTATAGGAAAGTTTCATCAAAATCGTTAGAGCTGTTTTTGCGTTGCAGTCTATAGAAAAACATGTTTTTTTTCATTTATTGCGCAGCAGCTATTGGGCATGGAGCATCCAGATTGTGTCACAGGCATCAATAGTCAAAATCCTACAAAATAAAAAAGAAGCAACAAAATCGGTTCAGTAGTACCCGAGAAAATCATCGCACAGACAGACAGACCAATGGCTAAAAATGTGTTTTTCGAAATCAGGAGGCTCTGGAACGTATAGATCCGTCAAAAATCGCATATTGGAAATTTGACCCGATTGCAATATTTTTCTAATTTAATTTATCATTAGGTAGGAAAGTAAAAAGGTGTAGCTTAGCGCTAATTTCGTTGTTAGTTAAATTAGTTGTGTTTTCCATTGTTTGTGAAATGTCTATACACAACTTTAAACGAACGAAAAACTACAGAAGACATAAAAATAATAATCTAAAACTGTTACAAACGTCATCTGGAACGTCATTACAGCACAAGGTGGAACAGCAACCTCCTTCTCCTCTATCCCCACTATTTGGAAAACAAAAAAGTTGGAAAATTTTCAGAAACTACTATAAACTGCGAACATCGTGGTAGAAAATTTTACTTAAAGTTACTAAAATTCAAAACCAGTACCTTTTAAGTTAAGAAATTGGGACTTAATCGATACTAAGTTGAGATTGAATAAAAATTCTTATTTATTTTTTCCTCATTCATTTTGCAGCTTTGGGCTATATTGAAGCGTGTAGCTCTGTTGAAGATATCAAGGGAGCACATAGTTAACAATAACTAGACGCGATCACAATCACTTCCTCTTCATCAGGTACTTTCCTATATGATGGTTGCCAATTCTTTGTAGGAATCTCTACCCTGCTCGATGTATCTTCTGAAGCCCTCGAGTCCGTTTTGTCCTTTGTTATAGAAGGACTTGATATGGAGTAACTTCTTTTTGCGTATTTTAGTATATTTTTCATTCTCGGCAGTAAGCGGTACATTTCACGGTCATATATTTCCTTTTGAAAAATAGCCGAACATTTGATAGTGACATTTATTTCATTACATGAGGTGAACACTTGTTGTTCCGAATTGATACTATGTTTAATATTTGATTAAGCGAAAATTGATTTACAATTATTCGTATTTGATGTCTTATAGGCAGTATTGTTTTGTTCGGAAAACTAAAAAAACGTATTATGTATTATAACCTAAAACAACTTTAACTAATAATAACTCGAACAGAAATTGTTGTTGTGAATTATTCGCAACAAGTAAGTAAACATTCAAATTGATATATTAATTTTATGTATATAAAATATATATATTAATATCGATTCATCCGATGTCAGTTCAATTGCCAACACGTCCGCCAAGCAGGGTGAGTATAGTTTTCTAACTTTCTATTGGATAGATAGTCACCTATTTTAAAAAGAAGGATTTGTTGTTGAAATATACTCTTGCCAAGGAATATATACACATGCGGATGCATAAGAAGAATTTATTGAAGGAATTTAACAAAATTAATAAATAACCAATTATAAATCAGTCTCAAACATTCCTCTAAACTTGGACCAAACCAGAGGATTCGCAGTTAAAATACAGGGATGGTAAGGAAAATATGTTTGCGTATGTGCAGGAATTTATTCCAACCACATACTTTCGCTGCAGGTACACAACCAAATTTGTTTAAAAATATTGAAAACGAAAATGTTATTAACTGCATGAAAAGCTATCTTATCTCCCGCATTGTCCGGTTTGCAATAATTGCTCACTTCACTTCCTCCCTCGGCAGGCTTCCATCGCACTATAGGGAGCGGTTTGAAGATAAAGAGGAATCAAGGGACAATCCTATATCGCTCCTGATATTTCAGATATTAAACTACCTGTAGGATGTACATTAGTCGGGTCTTTCGAAAAGACGAGATGCATAGGATCTGTTTGAGTGGAGAACAATCAACGAGGAGCTCAGGGCCTATTTTACTGGCTTTGGCATCAACTTATATTTAATGAAAAATATAACCTAAACTGTAACTGATACTTAGAACTAGGTACAAAGCAATTAAGAGATTATTGTGGTTTATGGATATTGTCATTTATGGATAAAAAATAGGGAAAAAAAAATTGAAATTTTATAAAGAGGCGTTTCTCTAAATCCATACCATCACAACGGTTTCCATAAGTTGTGTATACCCTGGATCATTTTTGAAATACTTTTTGAGAAGGTAGAAAGGGAAAAGACCTATTTGAACTCCGTCAAATATAGCAGCACCTTCACCTCCTTGGCAGATGGTATGCCAACTTTTTTTGCCCCTCCTGTACTCGGACATATCAGAGCAATCGTCAAGAACTGCTGACATCGTAAACAACTGAAACATAGAAAATTTTCTCAAGTAGAATGATTTAGTTTTATAGATACCGGGTATTGTGGATTGGTTAACTATGAAGTTATCAAAATTTATATTTAATTAGTTCTGTTTTGTCACTTTAAGGGGAATGGCAATATAATTCAAATATAACTATATTTAAACTTTACCAAGTCCATTGTAGCTCTGATAAGATACATCTTGGTAATGTTCTCATCTGTTTGGTGGCTCTCATCAGCAACGGTCCTGTAAACCAGTTCGGTCGAAAAGTTCCAAGCATCACTGAATGCTGGGTTGGTGTAAGTAAGTAACTGAAACAGAGAGCTATGAATGATAACACCATAGCATATTTACCATAAACTATAGCCACATAGTTGCTAGTTTAAAAAATAAAGAACAACCTAATACTTTATTAAAAATGTTTTTGAGCAATATAACATAACGATATGGACAATGGTTATAGTGAGGAAATAGTAGATTCATTCCATACTAAGAGAAAATGTAAATAAAATAATACAGGAATAAAATAACAATTAAATTATAATAAAGAATATTATTAAATAGAGAACATAAAAATAAAATGAACCTTTGATATTATGAATTTATTATGAACTTATAAGTTATGTAAAATATCACAGACATACATACACCAACCTAATAAATCAACATAACATACGATTATAATCATTTCAACATCACAAGATAAAATCACAATAGAGATAGTTGAAACAGTTTTAATAGTTGAAGATAGAGATGGGCAAAACCAGAATCAATGATTACAACTGAAAATAAAACTTATTGATCATGTTAATATTTGATGCAATAGCACTTTAAATATAGCAAAAATGTGACCTGATTACTTGATTACAGTACTTGGATTAATTGGGCGTAATCGTGTAATACTTTGAGAATGGAATTTGGAGAAGAAGAAAGAATGAGGAGCTGCGGGAACTGTATTTCGAACCTGATATTGTAGCATTGATAAAAAGACCTTATCAGATGGCTAGGTCATGTGAAAAGAATGTCAGACCAAAGAATACCAAAGAAGATGCTGCATGAGAAGCCGGATGGCAAAACAAGTAGGGGGCCCCCTCGGATCAGATGGCTGGAGGATGTTGAGGACGATCTGAGGTGGCTGGGAGTTCGAATGGAGGGAAGTAGCTGATGGTGTAGATAGAATCGTGTAATACTGCGTTCGTAATCACTGTTTGATTTCTAAAATAAATTTGGATAAGATTTTATTTCAATCCTCATGGATTCCTTCTTTTCAAAGTCAAAATAAACCTAGAATTTCTACAATTCCATAAAGTGTATTCTAGACTAAGATAAAAAAAAAAAAGTTAGGATCTTCTAATATTTGATAAGGCTACTGAAGATTTGCTTCGATGTTTTATAACTCCTCTGTTTGAGCATTTTATGTTTGCTCATAACAGAATTGATTGGGAACACTGTATGGTGTATTAAACGATTAAAATATCATGGAAGAAGACCTTTTGAAAATAATATTTATAAATTTCTTAGCATACTCCACATAATAATTAATATTTATAGAGCATAACTGATCATCCTACATATAACGCATATGTTTATTGTGATTCAATTAACCAATAAAAATTAAGTAATATATTAAACATGTTAAACTAATTTTACTCCTGCTTTATTTTAAATAAAGCAAAATACCTTTTCGATTCTTTCCGGATATCCCGGTACATCTGATGCAATATTTTTACATTCCGGTATTACGATTCTGTTCAAAACTTCATAATACTGGTCTGTTTTAGTGTCCAGCCAATGCCTTCTGATCAACTCCTTTCTGGGAAAATTAAAACATATGATAATCAGTTATAATCGTTAATTACAGATCTACTGGGGGAGGAGGGAGAGAGACTTTCGGGCTGAAGCCCCCTCCTCCAAACGATAAAATGTAACCATGTTTTATAAAAAAAAATATTAAAACTATCTTTTAAAGTATTACTGTTCGTGTAATTACATTTAATAGGACTTAAAAATCACTTAAACACCATTTCAAGTAGGTAGTTAATTTATTTTTTTTTCTTCAAATTAATTATTGTTGTGTATATGAAAAAAAAAATGTTTCGGGCTGAAGCTCCCCCCAAAATTAAATCTGGATCCCCTAATGGTTTGAAGTATATCAATTATATACAAATATATTTAATAATTGATGATTTGTTTCATCATTTCACTCTGCAGAAGGCTCATCAAAAGATCAATATTAATATGATCCTTAATTTCAGTGAATTGCCAAAAAAATATCCCATTCTTCAAGTTTTGATGATGAGGATACATTACTACTACGCCATTCAGTTCAAGAGATCATAGAAATAACGGACATCATGGATTCACCTTAACACGCAGGAGATTTGCCATCGCAAACACAAGCATTTACACAATTCATTACCTTACTACATTAATTTAAAAAAAATGAAATCGTTAATAGACACTGGCCCACTTAAAAATTACACAAAAATATTTGCTGTTGTTCCTGAGATAAGCAGACATAAAAACCATTTGTCTGCTAAAACTGCAGCAAAAATATTCTGGAAAAAAATATTGAAATTCGTTTTTAAGCAATGCAACAAAAACATTAGCAGTTTTCTTATTCTTTTAATGAGGTGAGTAGTCTCCTTCACCCAGACTAGGGAGTGGTAGCTTTTTCAACTGGCGAAGAAGAACATTTGAATGAAAAAGGACACGAGAGCAAGTTTTTCTTCTAAGAAGAAACTTCGTCAAAGACAAGAACTGCAACTCTTACAACAGTTCTCATACGTGACGAAGAAGAAATATTGGAGAGATGGATGGACTATTCAGGAGATCTTGGGTGATGTTGAATTGGTAGATAAGCCAAAAAATAAGCAATGCAATAGATGAAGAGGAGGATTTAGATGAGATAAACATTCTCCCAAAAAAGGAAGAGATTATTGAAATCACTTTCCAGCTGAAATCAAATAAGAGCCAGGTCTGGACGGAATCCGAAATGAGGTGATAAAAAATGCCGTGGAAGAAGTGTGGAGACACATTTACGATATTATTTTCAAGGTACGATAGGATTTCCGAGGAATGGTTTGATACATAAAAAGGCAATAGAACCGAGTCGAGTGCTGTGATTCTATAATAATTTCATTGATAAATAAAGTACATAAGATATTATCGATTGCAACAAGCAGAAGATTAATAAGATGGGCGGAAACAGCTCTGGTTAATTGCCAGATTAATTACGGACAATATTTTTTGTTGTAAGGCAAATGCTGAAGAAAGCTTATGATTACAATTTAATATTACATCATTTATTTGTGGACCTCAGACAAGCATAAGATTCAGTCATAAGGAAAAGCGTATGAGCGTCTGGAGAACCAAGGAAATTGGTAAAAATTTCACAGCATATTACATCCAGTAGAGTAATTTTTAATGGGAGACTCTATCGAAAATTCAAAATAGAAAGAGGCCTTAGACAGAAGATTCTCTATCAATGGTGATTTTTAACCTTGTATTGGAAGCAGCAAAAGGAAAATAAAAACAAATAGCAGAGATAAACTTTACAACCGTATGACGCACTATTTAGCATATGTAGACGATTTGTCCATTACAGAAATAAATGTACCAGCACTAGCAGGCGCTCTTGAAGAATTCTTCACGAAAGCTGGAGAAGTGGATCTGAAAATTAATGCAGGCAAGAGCAGGTACATGAGAACGTCAAGAACAGACCAGATGACAGGAGAGGAAATGAGAATAGGGAATTAGAACTTCAAGAGCTGTGGCAAACCTAAGTACCTAGGAAGCATGATTTCTAACTAAAACCTAGTAGAAAGAAATATTAATGCCCAAACAGCAGTAGTACCGAGAATGGACAGAAAATGCTGAATTGCAAAAATCTGTCAAAAAAAAAAAAATAATAATAAAAGTAAATGCCTCTGATAAGCAAATAGCACTGCTAATAATTATATTAGCATATTAATGCATGCATTGCTAATGACCAGTAATTAACCAGTTAGCTTTTAACCAATCAAAAAATCATAAAGAAAAAAGTAAGTACCCAAAAAAGTAGTAAAAAAGAACTACCCACATCAACAGCAAAAAAAAAAAAATACCCATCAACCAGAGACAGCATTTAAGGACACTCCAAGAATTTAAGGATTAAGACAAGTGAGGGAGCCTTTATCGGTAAAATTGTTGAGGTACCTCCAAACAAAATATACTTATAAGCCATAAATTGAACCATGATTTGTTTTTAGATTATTTTTACTTCAAGGCATCTCAATACCAAATTGATATCTGAAATATTTCTTATCTCTTGAAATGATTCATGAACAGCTTATTGTTATTTTTGCTTATTCAAAATGACTTAGATACAAAATAATTAATGATTGGTTATTAAGGAAGCTTGAAAGTTTGTCAAATAAGGAAATATTTTATTGCTTTAAAAAAATCTAGGAAATATGGTTTTCGGCTTCAGCAACGAATTCCTCGTTAAAAATTTATTTACATTTTATGCTGGCTAAATGTGATATCGAATTAGGATATTATTTTTTAGAATGGACACGCTATCCCGAAGAATGTTAGTACAAATGGTAATTATTTAATTACTTCCCTAACAAAAAAATTTAAATACCGGATTGTAAAAACGACTTACCTTCGTGAAAACTGGCCAAAGACGGCACCGCTCAGCTTAGGAAGAGACTTTGCGGCAACGGACACCATGATACCAATGAGCTGTTCTACGCCGCCGAGTTGTTTTATCTATTCTTCCCTATGACGACAAGGCCGGGTGAATCCCAAAATGGCTATCTAATTTATGACAAAACTAAGTCAGCCCCCTTTGGTCGAAAGATTAGAAAATAGAATTAACAGTTCATTAAAAAAAATATGAAACTAAAACATTATCGGTGTTTTATAATTTATTTCCAAGGTGAACTTGACCCACACCGTTTGGAAGTCAATTATACTGAGTTTTAAATTTTAATTAATTTATCATCTCGCGTTTATGGAGCTACCGAAGATCGCAATATTTTCCGCGGTAGCATTATTATACTTCTCTCTAGCCATGTAAACTGAGAACAGTATCGGAAACAAGAAAGACACTTGGAAGCCACCGTAGGCGAGTGAAACTTTTTGGATACCGTATCTTCAATTCGAAACTTGATTGAACGCAGTTCTTGAAATGATCTCAGAATAAGCTGCTCCCAGAACTCGTGCAGAGTCTTATACTGAAGTCAAGAGGACACCGAGTCAAACATCCAAAAAATTAACGAAAATAATCATCGCAAAAAAGTTTTGTAATCAAATAAATTAGACTTGTAAAAGTTTTTGTTATTCCTGTTTTTATTGCATTATTTTTGTTCCTTTAATAGGAAAGAATAAATCGACTATGGAAAATGTATGCATGGTGTATGTGCGTCTTACGTCTTGATGAAGAGGCTTTCACACCAAAGCTGCACGTGCCACATGCACCTTCTGTTTAGTTTATCCTACTCTTTATAGGCGACAAACAATAATTCTGTCTTGTGCAGTCAGAAGAAGACAAAGAAGTAATCGTATATGACAGCATCCATACTGGATAATGCTGCAGAGTATAGCCCTGCTATTGTGCCTCAGCAATTACTGAACCATCCGGTAAAGTTTCCGGCGTATTATAAAATGAAGATTTCGATTTTTAACAAGTTGTTGGATTTCATGGAACGGTGCTTAGATCACAACGCCTAATTAAAGTATGAAAAGAAACTGGACGAGTCAAGGGTGAGAGGCGGGTGAGTCAGGAGTGGAGTGGGGCGGGACGATGCGGAAGAAGCGAGTATACAACACCAACACAACCAATATGCACACTGAAATATCCTGCCGACTAGTTCTTAAGAGACAAGTGAGTCTTGTTGTGGGCGGGGTGGCCGAATGGGCTGAGTGTGCACAACACCACCGTTGCCTGGCAACCTGACATATGAGACAACGATGAAAAATAGTTCCGATTTCGCATCCCGGTGCCGGGGGAGTCTTTTAAATCCCCGTCCACACACCCTGACCCGGGAGAACCCTTAAAGGCGAGGAAGGGGAGGATCCCAAAAAAAAAAAAAAAAAAAAAAAAAAAAAAGTGAGTCTTGTTTTCAGGGTACTAGATGCACTTTCATCTGAGGGTGACAACTCTCGTTCAATTGAATAATCTAATCTTTCAGATTTAAGAAAATCCCCCCCTTTCTTCTCTCCTTTTAGTAGTGACCAATATTGAAGATATTTTAACGAAACTTGTGAGTCTTTACTAGAAATGTGGATTCTGACTATTTAAAGTAACAAAGACACATAGCGTTAGCAAAACTTGTGATCTACAGGGATATAAAACCTAATATTGCTGCCAGGAACGTTACCAAGAACTTGGACATTTTCCAGTTATCTATCCCTCAGGCACTGATAGTGAATCAGTCATAACGAGTCATGTGCCAGGGAATAAATCTTGCTGCATACCTCCTCATGGTTGTGTCTTCTGGATTGTGCTACCTATGTGATCAATGTGTTCAAAAAAACTTCTTCCATATTGAAGTTATTTTTATTATCATCTAAAACAATAGTTACTGGGATTTCGCTTAGCAAGGTTAAATGGTTCTAGCAATCCCGCCATATACACAACGTTTTCATTCCTTTCTTGTGCGTTCTACTGATCCGCAGTGTTAACTGTCCCAACGTCAACTCAGCAAAAACTACGTCATTAAAACGGTCAGTCTGACTGCTAGGAGACATCTTCGTGAATGAAATCAGAAATTGAAATATGATTTTCAATCAGACTGCCATTTTTGAAGCAAGGCTTCCATAATTATTATAAACATCCAGCGTTATAAATAAATAAATATATGTATCTATATATTTTTTTTCTTCCAAGTTAAATAATAAAATGAAATTGTCAAAGCATGGCTCGGTGCCCGGTTACCCTAGGATATTGTTATCCTAATTTATCAACAGCAAAAATATCGCCTGATATAATTGTCTGGAAGATATGAGGCGTGAGGAAGAACTGAGTTGAAAATATAAAAGTATATCTGTCAATTATCAATTATTCTGTTGTTTTTTCCATCAGCCGAACATACTATTCTAACGGATTTTTCGTTCTCACCATAGAACTGAAAATGATAAGTACAAACCAAGCAAATGATAAGTTTTCACGATCAATATTTACAGTTTTTGAAGTAAAATCTTCTATAGGCGCTTTTCGCACTTTTTCGCTGAGAGTGAATGAGGCTTCCGTGTTACGCTCATTCGGATAAAGTCGGCTCGAGTCGACTAATTGATGTATTTTGGCATTGGGATTAAAATATATCAGAAACTATTAATCTGACCTCCATACTGTAAGCGAAGAAAATGTTCAGCATTTCATCCTATTTCTTACGAACTATAAATTAGAATTTTGATTTTAATTTAATAGTTTATACACAACTATAATTATATATACTAGTAGGCCCATGCGAAAAATTCGCACAGCATATTATTTTCAAATGCCAAATTGATTAGAAAATAAAATAATGCAACGCATCAAAAGATAAAGAAATCAATTGTTACTTTATCGATAAATATAATCGAAAAAGGAAACTTAATTTAAATCTTCCTTAATGTTTGAAACCAACATGTTTACAAATTTCAATAAACTGCACCTTTGTTAAAAATTGTCCGATTTCGATGATTTTTTTTCTTTTTGTAGGGGATTTTTATATAATCATGGTCAAAACTAAAGGTAAAAATTTGATTTTTTAGTTATTCGCAAATAAAGTTTGTTTTCTTTCATAACTTGTTTGGCTGAATTTTCGGGATGATTGGACTATTTTGCCCTCCCAAAGGAGAAGGAAGCCATCGAAATTGGTGGCTCAATCTTGAGATTTGGGGAAGAAATAACGATGTTATGGCTTGCCGATCAAAAACACCATCGATAAATAATATAAACTCCTACACCTCGATCATAGAGGCCTCAAGTCGACAAAATGAGACATGTTTTCAATGGCAGTATTACAATTAACGTAAGGTTGTGTGGATGCGAACCCTATGCCTTTCGTTATCTCGTAAATAGTACGTTTCGGGCTTAAAAACGCAGGATCCGATAGTTCCGGAGGGTTGATCCGGATTTTGCTGTACGTATCAAAATCTTCAAGGTCCAATTTGTCCCGTATAAAACTACAGACCTACTACCATTGAAGCCTAGCAAAATGTTTGTATCGACGTTATTTATTTTAGAAAGAAAACCAAAGTGGAGAATACGAATCGCTAACCCCCAGTGAAATTCTGAATCCAACGGTACCCCATTCAAGATATTGAAACATTACAGGAGCTTATATTTGGTACAAAACCGATTTCGAGCCTTACTGTAATAATACATGTGGAGATTGTATATGTTATTACTTTGTAAATATAGAACGAAAAAAATTTATATTTTTAATGTTATATTCTCGCCTTATTAATTATTAAGACTTATATCGTGTAGTCTACAGCTCACATTGTAGTAAATCAATCAGTCATTATTATTATGGTTTTAGTAGGAAGATGCTTCTAGGATATGGGTGACTGATAGACCTACTTCCTCATTCGGTGTAATGCACGAGTGAATCAGTCTTTTCGTTGTCAATCTTTTCATTTAGTTCTAGAAACTAGGGTTCTTCTCGATTCAATAATATTTCCTTAGTATGATAAATCATCAAAGCTTCCTGTCCTATTTCCAATTTATCATGGTAGTTGACTATTATATGACGTATGTCATGACGTTTAAAACTTCTTAATTTTAATTGATTTTTATAATTTGATTTCACTATGAATTAATTATATTGGCAAATTTTTAATTTTAAAAAATCTTTATATTTTGACCAGTGATATTTCACTGTAATAAATTATTTAACAAGTTTGGTTTATGGTACTCTTTTCTCTGGTTTTCATTCAAGTTTTCCTCTACTAACCTGGTATTTTTTTTTTTTTGTATTTTTATTAAATAGGAATTTAAAGGATAAAGGATATGGAATAAAATATTTCTCTAATTGGCTTCTGTGCCTCAAAATTTGAATATCGTTACGCGCGTTTTCAGATCTATTTATCTTATAATGATGGATATAAACTTGTAATTTCAACTAGTTAGGTAAGATAAAATATTTATATTTTGGACGGGAGGGGTTTGGATATCTTAGATTTAGTGATATTTCATTGGATTTTTCTCATTTCACGATTTCACGAGAAATTAGTTTAATCACGAGTACTTCTAATTAATTATTAGTTTATAATTATTAGATAGAATTCTTTGGTATAGGTGCTGCTTTCAATGTTTTCAAGTACGCTGAATCCAAATTTATGATGGGATTTCGATCGCGCATGCGTATTTTGAGTTACTGTTGCGTTAAAGTTATCCAAGATTTTTTCGAATTTTCGTTACAGTTCATATTCAATATTCTACAGTGATATATATATTATATTTATTGTGAGTATGTTTTTCTTATATTATTCTTTTAAATGATAATTTCATTAATTGACATGCTTTTATGAATATCAGAATGTTTGACATCATACTTTGAAAATAGCAATCCAAGTAAATTTCTATGGTGAAATCCAAAACGCCGAAAATGGATTTTATTAATATAGATTTTTATGCCGTCGAACATACTGTTTATAAATTTACTCTCAAATACCAATGGAATAATTATAAAAATAAATAAAACAATTAATATTGAAATGAAAAAAGTTACAATGGAGTTTGGAAAGGGTTACATTTGAAACGGAAAAAATTACATTTCAAATGAAAAAGCTATATTTTTAAACAGTTTTCATATTACATAATTAATTCATATGCAAGTCGAACATTTTTAATAAATAAATTAATTTTTAAAAAGTTTTATTTTTTTAATTTAAGATAATTTTAGGAGTATTGAAGGTTTGCCTTGCAGAAGTGAAGGGTGAAGGTCATCTCTTTTTATTTAATATATTCCTGTCGTAGAGATAATATAGTTTTCAAGTTTATCCACACTGATTGTTATGCAGGTCACTGTCATTACATCTCAAGTAAAATCACAATACATTATCTTCTAGAAATGCTTTGCAGATTCTATAAAAATCACATTTGTGATTTACATCTTTTATGATGTTATTAATTTTAACTGGGATATTTGAATCTTTAATTCCAAGGAAGTAATAAAACAATAAAATGCTTGTCAAAACTGTATTAAATTGCATTGGAGAATTCATATTATGTTTGAGCCCTTACAAACATTTTTTGTCAAAACCATTGATGATTTTCATAGAATGTCAATACTTAGTGATGTATACTATTAGTAAAGTGGGCTTTTGCAGGATTTGGAACATTGTTGAAACAATTAAAAAATTTAATTAATTATTGTCATACAAAATTTAATCTATAATATTTACAAGCAGTCATATTGCACTACTTATATTCAAGTATAAATTTTAAAAAAACAAATTGCTCAAAACACTGCTTGTTATCAGTGAAATGACATTTTTTTTTTAATTTTACAAAACAATAATATCCCAGAAACAGAAAAAACTTATTGAAATGGTTGCTGTCATAGCAGAGTATGAATGGCTCAGAGATGATAACTAAATCAGTTCTAAAGTAGAAAGAGAGTTTATACTGAAAAATTAATTTAATGAATAAAATTGTCATTAGGTTAGAAATTTATTATTAATTGTTTATTGTAAGATAAATCTCCTTAAAAAGGATCGTAACCAGGTATAGTAAAATAATAATTGCTTGTGTTGTGAAGTGTATTTTTATTTAGTATAAGTTCAGTTTGGTAACAATGATTACTCTATGGGTCTGATCAAAAGATGTAGCCACTGCCAAACCCAGCTTGTCTGGACACCAATGGAAGCTTGATATAGGTTGTGTAGCGAGAGTGACATTCTGAAGGAGAGATAAAGTACCGACAACACCGACTTCTTTTCCTTCAGCATCTTCCCGCCATCTCTTATCGGGATAGTTACTACAGTGAAAAATACACACTATCATATATTAATAATTATAATAATAAAATATTATTCTTTTATATTTCTTAAACAAAATAACTGTTGATGCTTATTATTATTATTATCCTATCTTAGTAAAAATTTTTGATAGAACCATTGATTATTTATCATTGAAGTTGTAAGAGTGGTTTCTTAACGGTGTATTATATTAGAAAAGTCTATCTCTGTAGGATTTACACTATTTTTTAATTTATTCCAAACATTTGTATTTAAGTACACATTTTTATAAAAAATATATATATTTTTTTTAATTTTAATGAAATTTACAACTGTATCACATAGAAAATACAATAAGTAAATGTGAAATTGGTAACATGACATGTACAACATGAAACTACCCATTGGAAGAATTCAAATTAAAGTTCTATATTAGAAGGTGCCAAGACCATCTTCTTTTCAGATGCCTCGAAGGGTTATCAGGGATCGAGGAGGAAGCAAGGTTTGATACGAGAGGATTCGGATGGTTCTGCAGTTTGTTATGGAAGGATAGGTATCTGGATTGGGCCAAATCGGAAACATATAGAACATTAAGGTCTTTATGGATGATTTTATTTGTGACAAAGTAAGGAACGTTGAGGATTTTACGAAGGATTTTGGATTGTAAGGTTTGGATACGAGAGGAATTCGATGGTTTAGTGGAGCCCCAAAGCTCAATTCCGTAAGTCCAAATAGGTCTTATTATTGTCATATATGAGTCGTTTGTAATTGATTGAAAGCTTAGAGCGTTTGTCTATTAAGTGCTTAAGTAGTCGAAAACGTCGGGCGGTTTCTAGTCGTTTCAGTCTGGTATGGGGGTATAAAAAAAAAAATTAAAATTATATTTACGATTTCTTCTAATCAGCTTAGAAATTCATTCAGCTGTTCACGTTTCCATTAATTATTAGTATCTTAATTGGAATCGTGAACACATAATATGAGAAGGCAACTGTTTTTGTATCTTAATGTACATTGAAAAAAAATATATATGTTTTCTTATTGCATGAAATGTCATATAAATACTAATTAATACAGTTAAAAGTAATTTAATAGTAGAATTAATATGATAAACGAAAACTCAATGCTGTAAATTCTTTAGAAAGAAATGATAATTCTTGATATTTTTAACACAGTTAAAAATACAGTCAGTTTCATCTCATCAATCAGTACAAAATTACCTTGCCCATATAAATAGTAGCATAAAGAATTATATTAAAGAATCCAAATTGAAAAAATACACAATTACTCACTATTGCCAAAGGCATAGAGATCCATTTCCACCACATGTCATAAATAAATCCCTATTCTGTGGTAAATGGCGAACAGCCCAAACGGTCGATTTGTGTGCCTGTTAACATTTACAATAAACAATATAATAATGTAATTTATACAATCGAACAATTTCATAAATTGACTACAAAATATATATTTCTTTAAATACCTTTTTCAAATATATAAAAATTACCAACGTTTTGACCCGACTTTGCAGGTCTTCTTCAGGGCTAGAACGGACAAGATAGAGAACCATGTCTCAATATTAGCTAATATTTAAATGTAATTTTCTTACATATGTCCAACCAAATATAATTATAATTATTCGTGGGCGGGGTCGCCGAATGGGCTAATGCGCACAGCACCGCCGTTGCCTGGCAACCTGATCTATGAAACAATGGATTTAAAATAGTCACAAGTTCGCGTCCCGGTGCCAGGGAAGTCTTTTAAATCCCTGCTCACACCCCCTGGCCGGGGAAAAATCCGTATAGCCTTAAAGGCGAGGAAGGTGAGGACTGAAAAAAAAATTATAATTATTCATTTTTTTTTTCCCTCTTTATATTTTAAGTTAGTTCCGAAATGTATGGTCTCTTATTGCTATATTTATAATTTACTTCTATGTACATTTTTGTTTTTATACACATTGTATTCTTATTTGTAATCTCTTAATTCTATTTTATATGTAAATGTATATATTTATAATTTAATATTTCATAGATATAGTATTGTTTCCTTTGTATCCATCCACCCCTGGTTTTTAAGTTCTAAGTCTAACTCCTAGCTGAACACACTTGCAATTCTCTAATTTTATTTAATTTTTTGGTTTTCTTTTTTTTTTCTCCACATTCCTTTATATCTATTATTTCATATTATATCCTTTTTCCTTTTCTTTCTACCTCTCCTGTAGATCTATAGAAGTATATTCACATTTGCATTTATTATGTATTACACTACAACAATTGTTAGCATCTATTTACTTCAGTTTAGGATCTTGCTACTTAGCTTACTCTGTTTATATTTTAATGCAGTTACTGTTTATAATTTTAATAAGCTTATTCACATTGTTTATGATTTTTTTCTAAATATTATGTAACTTCCAAAATTCTCTATCTTTTTGTATCTTGTACGTTCTAGCCCTGAAGAAGACCTGCAATGTCGGATTGTTGATTTTTAATAAAATATTTTTACCATTATTTAGCTTATTTATGACCGCCACCCCGGACCATCTCCTTCCTTTATAATGCAACGGTCAACTATCAAATATTCAATATAAAATTACCATAAAATATTAAAAGTTCTCAAACATCTGAAATATGTTTTCATTATCGAAACTTTAAGGAGAAGTGGTGTGGTCAATCGACACATACTATACATTTTTGCAGCGTTTATTTAAATTTTGTGAATATAATATAGAGTGCTTCCCCGATCAACTTCTCCTAAAATTAGAAATACAGTCAATTATTTCTATACCATCATTATTAATACTATTAATTACCTTCTCTTTCAAGGAAGTGAACCCTCTCGAGGCATGATGTGTTCTTAGATCCCAGACATAAAACTTAGCTTCAAGTGTCGTAGCTACCAGTTTATTCATTTCTATTTCTTTTCTGTCAAACTCTATACAGCATACCTTTAAAGATACAAAAAAAAAAAAAAAAACTTCAATAGAAGAGAGAGAAACACTTTGTTTTCATAAAAGCAAACACAATTATATTGGGTTGCTGAATACACAGCATACTTATTCACATTGGACAATATTTAAAATTTATATATAATACCATTTCAACAAATATGAATATAGTAAACATATATTTTTTTCCCCATAATTTGTCTTTTTGCTCATGCATTTTATTTTTATAAGATTCAATTTCCTTTTTTTTTTTTTTTTTTTTTTTTCCCCTTCCTTCCCTTTATACATTTCTCTTATCTTTCTTCTTTCTTTTTTTCCTAATCTAATTCCTGCTTTTGCACAATAAATACTACAGTGTTTAAAATTATACAATAGTAACAATAAAAGAAGTGCAAATATATCTAAATTGATAAGAAATAAGAAACGTAGCTTTATATACATTTTAAAAGACACCAGAAAAATATAATGGAAATTTGCTAGTTAAATGTAAAGATTACATAAATTATCGACCACAGTTATTTTGTTTGCATTTATAATATAATGTTTTTTAAAATATTTATTAGAAATAATCTATGAAATTCATAATGAATTGGATTCAGGTATGACATTAATACATTTTCTAATCTCTTCATTGACTTCCAATAAATTAGTTTCAATAATTTTTTTTTCTTACATTGGTTTTAGTAATATTACTAGATTATACAAAAAAATAAAATTAATTAGCTCTGTTTCCAGATTGACTGATTGAAAAATAATTATTTTTTCATTCCATTTTCCCAAAATTATTAATATTTCGTTTATTAAATGGAACAAAAAACATTTTTAGTAAAAATTGTTATCAGTTTTTGTTTTAAAATTAAAATGTTCACTGCTAAGTGAACTACAGTCACTGATTTTATTAAATAGTTTATATTCAGAAATAATTGATTTTTATAGAGATTAACAATTTTAATATTTTTTAATTTATTTATAAAAATAATATAATGTTTTTAATCAGACTATACACTTTCTATTCACAATATGTTACAAGAAATCATTTTGTTTAATATTGATTTTTATGTGCACCAGATGTTTGAAAAAGAGAAAAATGATCACCCTAAAATGATATTTCTCTTGCGATAAGTACAAATACCACATTTTCTAAAACAGTGGCTTCAAAGTTTTCTAAATGTCATTCTTGACCTTGTGTTCATATTCTCCATAAGGAATAGTCAATACGTGGGTCAAAGGATTGATAACAAAATTCAGATAAATAAAAATAATCATTTCAAGTTACGAAAAAACCCAAATATTGAATTTCCTAACTGTTTTCACATCTAAATACTGAAACGAAATCAATTTTGAACAAGGTAACTATGAGAACAAGAAAAAATTAAGAATAAGCCCTTTTGGAACAGAAACGTTGGTCATAGAAACATTAATTGGAATAATCTTGTTTTTTTATCAATCCATACTCTACAATAATTTTGTAATTAATAATTTTCTTAATGAACAAAACTACAAAAGTTAAGGCTGTCCTTAAAATTGGAAAACAAGAAGATTCGATATTAAAAAAGAAAAACAAAAATGAGACGTGTACAGAATTTTAAAAAATAAATATTTGAAGGAAATACAGATTAATAAAAATATGGAAACAGATATACTTTTATCAAAATATAAAAAAATATGTAAAAACAAAATAAATAAATAAAGGTTATTACCCCATTCTTTATGTTTGTTTCCCATCTAACTGACATATTTTTTAAATCAAACATTTTAATATCACCATTATCATAGCCAGCGCAAACTACCCTTTCCTCGTTATTGTATGAGTTACCTAGTACATAAAATCATTAATAATCATAATAATAAATAAAATAATTTCAGCACAAACCAATACTATCTCTAACCAAACGTAACAGTCCAACAGTCTCTTTTCTGATTGATGTCAGTTGGTTCCATGGCAACAACTGGTTTATCCTTCTGTCTTGGATCCCAAACTCTCACAAAACCTGAAAGGAAATAATTGAAACAAGTATTTAATATATGATTATTGCATTGATGGTCATCAGTATTTATAATAAAATTTATAAAGCTAAATTTCAAGTTCAAAAACAAATCCCAATCTGATCTTGGCAGTCAATAGTAATTCAGTAATTAGCTGACTCTAATGTTGTAGCTTATTTTGGATTTAGTCCAAACCTTGTCTTGAATCCACAACTTTTAGGATTGAATATGTGTCTAATCCAGGCATACCTAGAAGGAGGTTTCATAGTGCAAGTTGCACCATCGATATTTTTGTGGGGGCACATATTTACGAGGTTTTCAATTTTTGAGAGGGCCACATTTTGACGAGGTTATGAATATTCGAAATTAAATGTTTCCAACCACAATACGACAGGAAGTATGGAACAGTCTGCAGAATATGTAATTATACATAATGTACAATTTTTTAAATTCTACATTCGCTTGCATTGTTCTTAAGAAGAGGAGAACAATAAAATATTTTGGGAGGAATGGGAGAAAGATCATGCACCATTGACCTTGGGAGGGGGGGATGGACACCCCTGGCCTAACCCAAAAAAATAACATATTCTGGACTTGGAAGCATTAATTTTACTATTCCTTTCGACTTTCATTTAAATATAACAAACTTGCTTGTTTCTGAACATACTTCCCAGTCCAAAAAGAAAATAACTTCAATAGCTAACATAGTTCTGGCTGACATTGGATGAATTTTAATTATATATATTTTTTAAATGGACAGTAATGTAATCTAAGTATTTTATCCATGATCGTTGCAATCACTAAAATTATTTTGGAAAGAACTCAAGAAACTCTTACTCAGTATATATGAATTTAGAATGCTACAGAAAAGTATCAAACTTTATAAATATTGGCAGTTATTGATCCATTCAAATGTTTATTTATTAATTATATGATTTTAAAAAAAATGAAAAATATGCTAATTTAGGAATGTTTATAAGGATTTCGGATTGTTGGTAATTGTCCACAAACTTACTGAGTTTACTTTTTTCGATTTTCTGTAACCGGTCCTTACTGACATAAACCGAAAATCATTGATATTTCTGCATAGACAATATTCAAATATGAAATGGAAATAATTATTGAATAGTAAATAAAAAATAGAATTTTATTTATTTGTTTAAACTGGATATTAATCCAAATAACTACCATATCTAAAATACTATCAATTAATATAACATACACCTTTCTATCCATAGATTCATCAATGGAAGAAAAATTTACACAAAAAATCAACTTCATAAATTCTGCTCATTCACATTAACTTTTATTAAATTTCCGCACTATGTATTTTAATTCAACAGTTTAAACTTATATAACCAATAAACATAGCATTACCATCTCTTCCACCTGTGACTATCTCTGGTGCTCCACAGCCTACTGTTTGCCCTCCAAAACCATCTATACTATTTATTATTTCTTTATGAGCATCTACTGAATATAAAGGGTCCTTCATGTGCTCAATATCCCTGAAAAAAAATAAAGTGAATGGAAATCACACTATTATATAAAATTATATATAGAAATAATTGAAAAGAGGTTCTTAAATGTAATGACCCCTACAACAAGTCCTTAAATTTTCAATTTTCAGTAATATCAAACTCATTGATTTTGGTGACGTGAATGTTTTATTAGCATGAATTGCATTTGATGCAAACGTTTTTAAAAATAGAAAAAGAATTTTATTCTGAAACTATGTCCCTTGAGAATAATAGCAGTTACAGAAAAAAAAAATCTATTGATGGCCAATAGACAAAAAGATGATGGGAAAATGAAAACAAAAAAATAGGTTAACTATAATATTTATAACAATGTTACAGAATAATTTTTTTTTAAAATTATTTTAATGGAATTTACAACTGTATTACATAGAAAACACAATAAGTAAATGTGAAATTGGTAACATGACATGTACAACATGAAGAGAAACTACCCATTGGTAGAACTCAAATTAAAGTTCTATATTAGAAGATCCTGAGGCCATCTTCTTTTCAGACGCCTCTGAGGGTTATCAGGGATCGAGCAGGAAGCAAGGTTTGAAACGAGAGGATTTGGATGGTTCTACAGATGTTATGGAAGGACAGGTATCTGGATTGGGCCAAATCGGAAACATATGGAACATTAAGGTCTTTATAGATGATTTTATTTGTGACAAAGTAAGGAACGTTGAGGATTTTACGAAGGATTTTGGATTGTAAGGTTTGGATACGAGAGGAATTCGATGGTTTAGTGGAGCCCCAAAGCTCAATTCCGTAAGTCAAAATTGTCATATATATGAGTCGTTTATAATTGATTGAAAGCTTAGATCGTTTGTCTAGTAAGTGCTGCAGTAGTCGAAAACATCGGGCGGTTTCTAGTCGTTTCAGTCTGGTATGGGGATTACAGAATAATAAAATAAAATACAATAGGTTTTCTCTGATAGGTTAACAAAAATCTTACTACAAAAAAAAAGAGCAATAAACAACAATAAAAGATGGAGATTACTTCTGTTATCTAAAATTATTTGAGTAAATTTATATAGCTATACAATAAAAAAAGAGAAATAATAATTCAATTTCAGTAAAAAATATATAGTAGGAAATTTAAGTAAGTATTCAAAGGTAAAACGTGATTAATCAAAAATTAAATCATGTTGTATATTACATGATTACGCAGTGTCTTATAGCAGAAACATTTTTGTAACAGATCATGGAAATAAAAAAAAAAAAGAGGTTAATTGAGTAGAATTTGAGAAAGGATGATTGATTACTATACTTCCTGCACCTAACTAAGAAATTTGTTAAAAACATTCTCTCATTCAAAATGATCAATTTACTAAAAAATACACCAGGAGATGGGACAAAATCGTTTGAGATGGTTTGGTCATGTCTCTCGAATGCCAGAGAATCGAATGGAAAGTAGAGTGTAGGGAAGAAGACCTCAGGGAAGACCCAGGAAGACCTGGGAGAAGGGTTCAACACAAGGGATATTGACTGGAGGAGGAGGCAGGGGTTGGCTCAGGATCGAGAGTTGTGGATTCGGCTCTACAAGAAGGTTCCTCACACCGCTCAGCGATAGAAGATAAAACGATTAAGAAGAAGAAGATATGGGACAAATGATCATATAATCTTTTTTTTTCCTGAAACCAGTTATTTTTTTTTCAATCTTTTCTGACACAAGAACTTGACATTTGTGACATTGCATTTATCTTAAAAAACTAGAGATGTACCGACGAATTCTCTTTTCCGAACTTCTTTCTTGTGTTCATTCCATTGCAATGGTGGCTGAAAATTCTTCTACGTATAAGTAAGCAATACAAAACTTTCAAATTAGTATAATATGAATACGATATAATTACCAAATTTCTAATTTTCCTGTGAAACCGCCAGTTGCCAGATGTCGTTGTTTCAGAGAGGATGCACCAAAAGTACAGCACTTAATCGGTAAGTCTTTCACAGTCTAAATTACGAGAGAATAAAATAAAAAATACAATAATCATAAGTAAAAACTACGTGAAGAGTAAATAATTTACCTCGAATATAAGAGATGATTCACCGGAAGTAAGTTCATAAATCTGAACGATACCTCTGTTGTCGGGTTTGCATCCCATAACGATATATTTGGCAGAGCAAGGAATCCACTTTCCATCAAAAAGATTGTAAGTAACGGGTTTTTCGGCAAGTGCAATTATTTGAGGTTTTTCTAATTTATTTTCCATTTCAGAACCTTATCATAGATGAAGGTTTCATAAACGAAACAGTTGCTTAGAAACCGTTGCTACGAAATCGCCGCTCCTTTATTCAATTTAGACGTAAATGTAGGTCTATCGAATATTGAATTTAACTGAGAATATTATCACAGTTGAACACAACAGTGAAAAATTCCCGAAAATCATAGATGTCATGAAACAGACATTCTTAAACAATATTCACGAATATTGTTACATGGATGTAACTTTTTGCAATAAATCGGATGAAATCAATCCAAAGACGGTTTTGACCGCTTCTGATGTAGCTTGTCATTTTCAATATCTTAGTTTTACATTTAATTGAATAAAACTAATACTTAGACGGTTAAATAAGTTTTAACATTATAATTTTTCTTCATGTATAAAAAAATTCTTAAACATAAATTTTCAAAATAGTGATAAAAATATCTAAAACTGCCCGTAGCTAAAATCTCTTTACGAATACACCAATACAACCATACATTAGTGAAAACCTGATGAAATTCTTTATAAAATGATAAAATAATATTAGTGGGACTTTGAGTTTGAAGAGTTATATTACAATTTAAACTTAATACATTAAAATTTAACTTATCAATTATATGTACACCTAAAAATTGTTACAATCTCTCACTGAATACAACCATATATTACTGGAATCAACATGAAATACTATTCCAAATGATAAAATAACATTGGAGAGGGAAATTGAGTTTAGTGAGTCAAACGCCATTCCTTCAACGGTTATGATAAAACAATAAACTGATCGGATAAACACTAAAAGTATTCTCTAAGAAATGTTTTGGACATGACTCCGAAACTATGCATTCTATCAAAATTATTATTATATACAACGTTAAAGAAGATAAAGTTGACTATCAATTTTATAAACAGCTTTTTGATGTAGGGCCAACGGGTGAGGAGTTAAAGCATATTGACTGTTAGCTTATTTTTATTCACAAGAAAAATTTCTTTTTGTCGGTCTATTTTATAACCGAACTAAAATGTATAAATAAATTACATAGCCTTTATATGAGAGACATCCATAACAACTATAAAAAAATTGAGGACCAAAATACGTTTCACAGTCCGAGCGGTCCAACGACATTTCGCCTAATCTTATATTGCGACTCTACGTAAGCTTGAATTAAATCAAAATTTTTATTGAGCTCCGGTATAATCGTTAATATACGAAAAGTTGAAAAGCCATTTGACAGCTCGGACATAAAAGCGCATTTCGGTTCTTAAGTTTTTGATTATTATGAATTTTGATATCTCTCATACTTACAAAGTACATAAAAACTAGGTAATTTGTTTATACATTTTAGTTTTATTATAAATAAAGTTAAATTAGCCGAATAAAAAACATTGAAAAGATAAAAAGCGCTTAAGTTGAGAGAGGCAGATACTGCGAGTGAAATACGCCAGCCATTTCTTGACCTTTAACAGCCGTTTAATCTTCTCAAATATTAACGTGTCTACATGAGATACATAGGAAATGTAATGCTCTTTTCAAATTGATTATGATGAAATTCTTCGAGATGTGCACAGATTATGAGTTTTTGGTGAAAAACCGACGAAAAGAGATTTTTCTAGTGAAATAAGCAAACAGTCAACATTATAATAAACATGGTCGGTAGCTACAAGTCTACATCAGCGTTAAGACAGATTTTACTCGAAAATACAAATGAATATTTAAAATCAATTCGCGACCCTCTAGATGAATCTTTTTTTTTTTTTTTTTTTTTTTTAAACTTTTATTATGATATTTACAACTGCATTAGTATAAATACATCAAGTAAATTTGTACTGAGAAATATTATTACATGAAATACGCTTGTTGAGAAACTACCCACTGGTAGCACTCTAATAATTTGTCTACATGAGAAAATCACGAAGCCATCTTCTTTTCAGACGCCTCGGAGGGTTATCAGGAATCGAAGAGGAAGCAAGGTTAGAAACAAGAGGATTCGGATGGTTATGAAGTTTATTATGGAAGGATAGGTATCTGGATTTGGCCAAATCGGAAACATATGGAACATTGAGGTCTTTATGGATTATTTTATTAGTGACAAAGTAAGGAGCATTGAGGATTTTACGAAGGATTTTGGATTGTAAGGATTGGATGCGAGAGGAATTCGATGGTTTAGTGGAGCTCCATAGCTCAACTCCGTAAGTCCAAATAGGTCTTATTATAGTCAAGTATATGAGTCTTTTGTAATTAAGGGGAAGTTTAGAGCGTTTGTCTAGTAAGTGAGATGAATCTTAAACTAGTATCTTGCGAAGATAGATAAAAAGATTCTTGCTCCCAAAATACTATTGTTTTTGAAAAATTTAGCTGAGAACCTGGAAGCGTTCTCCTTCAGATAACCAAGGAATGGTCTTCAAAGGTTTAGCCGCCGGTTCGTGAGAATTATGACGCTGACGTATTCAACGCAGAAAACTACAATTTTTAAAACAAGTTGACGTCCGACCTGACTTAACATTTTAAGGTTCACTATTGTTCTAATGGGTGTTCGACTAGAGACAGAATTACCTTATATAAAAAATAAATACAGTAAGATGGGGTGACTTTGGGACACTTTTCAAAGTTTTAAGCTGCTTCTATCTTTATTTTCAAAGTTAAAGTACTGAAATCATTATTAATATGTAAGGTCAGTCTTCCTCTTACATAATATGGCCGAACAGTAACTCTTCAAACAAGAGCATTTCACTAAGTAAAATTCTAATTTATTCTAATCTTAATCTATTGATTGGGTTAAAATTGGGACAGTTCCTAATCTCGATTAGAAAAGGTAGGAAACATGATTTTGTACCAATGTTACTCCACAATATTGTATAGGCTCATTATTTACATAAGAAAAAATAAGGAAAATAGGAAAAGGAGTGTATACCAATTTTATCCGACAATACTAGATTTAATATGACATGAGAATAATAAATTCGTATTAATGGTACAAAAAGATTGCAAATGATAATTTTTTAAACAATTAAGCCTTGAAAAAATTTACTTAAAAAACAGAAAATGTAACAGACATTATTCAAACACTTCGTACAATTTAGTTTTTGTTAACTGAAGCCACGAGATCGCTGTAAACTTTCAGCCCTTTCACTATGAAAATTTCTCGCCGGCCAATTTGTCCTTTGAGTAGTGAATTTCATCAGGCGTTACTAATACTTCGGTAATATGATGTTCGCAGTTCTTGAGGCAAAAGCGAAAGTTTCATGGAAACAAGAAATTTGAAAAAAGCAATGAAAATAAATAAAATCTAACTGCACAACGAGAGTAGCGAACTAGGGTTCTCTAACTGCCGCAAGATAGTAGTTGCAGTACGTACCTACAGAAAGCACGTTTTTTGCAGATTGAACCAACACGGGACACCACAAACTAAATTTTATCAGCTGTCCCAAAGTTACCCCATCTTCCGGTATTTATTTTTTATATAAGGTAATTCTGTTTCTAGGCGATTACCCATTAGAAAGATAGTCAACCTTAAAATGCTAAGTCCTCCATTTCCTTCAATTTCAATATAATGTACATTATTGACAGTCACAGGTGGATAGATATAGCGACCGTCGTAAAGTAGTGCAAACACCTTATTTTCAGAAAAAATGAAAAGCTGATACATACTACTTCAAAACACATGTAGGGGTCATTTTTATGTATTTTCTTATTCCAAATCGAATGAAACAAAAATTAAATCGATAGCTTTAAGCGTTTTTGTTATTTTCGAATATTACTTTAAATTTTGATAAATTCGGAATAAAAATTAATTTGATGATTCAAGTTATTGGGCGAAAATTTTGAAGATTAGAAAGATTGAAATAAAAACTGACTTAACAAATGTTTAAATATATAATAATTACATAATATGGAACTAAAGGTTCAAGCATAAATGTTATTTTTTTAAAAAATCTATATCATCTCTCTATTTTCACATAATTAGTTCCCGAAAGTTATTATTACAAAAAAATAAAATAAATAAACGTTTAAGCTCTGTTAAGAATTGTGGTTTAACCTTTATTATTACCATATTTACTTTTTAAAACCAAATAAATTTCAATAAAATTTAGATTGAGGACTAATTTTTAAATCTTACTCAATAACTTTAAAATGCAAACACTTATAAGATTTGGGAACCTATTTTAAACAGTAAAAATTGAGATAAAACCTTTTACTGAAAAAATTACCAAAATTTAAAACAAATACTGAATAAATTATCTTTTAGTGTAAGAAAATAAAATTTTACTGATAAAGTGTTTTTGAATTCAATACACACTAAACCACTAAGACAGAATTGTTGGGAATTTTAAAATTTTTGAATCGTTCAAATTGTAAAATAACCACTTGATAGATTAAACCATGAAAGATTTCTATTTGTTCTAGAATGAAAGACCTTTTTTTCCTATGAAATTGCCTTGGAAAAGATTTCTAGCTCATCAAAATCTAACATAACATTTTGAGAAAAATTTTGGATAAACTTACAATGTTCCACTAGAGTACGTTTAATAACTGACTGCTATTGTCTGTAATAGATCGTCTCTTATTCATATAAATGTCATTAAAGTACCAACTATCAAGAAAAAAGTACAAAAATAATGTTAATTAAGGTGAAAAGGTGATTGGTTCAACTTCTCAGCAAGTAATTTCTGAACTTTACAAGAAATGTTTACACAGAAAAATCACTCATAACTTTAAATAAGAGAATATCAGAAAGCAATTTTTTTTTTCACTGAATTTACATTTTGAAAAGTATTATCAAATGGAATAAATCGCAGCGTGGAGAGAGTAGTTTATTTTGTGTTTATACTTACTTTATGCTTAGAATTTTACATAGTTAAAGCAATGAAAACAAATGAACTGTAAGACTGTACCAAATTTAATTTTTTAAATATTTATTTGCCCATAAGTGAGAAATTTCAAAGACAAAATCAATAAGTTCTCTCTTATCAATGTCTGAAAATTAACTCAAAATATCTGTAAATACTGTTCATTGTTTGCAAAATCACTGAAAATTGCTCATTAATTTGTGTTTTGAAGGGCTAAATAGGAGGAAACTTGAGAAAATAGTTATTAGACTAGGTGCTAGGGATGTTAAGGAGGGATAATGTAGTACAAAAAGTGTGATTGGAACAGATTCATTATATGGGTTTTTCCACTCCTGAACCACTGTGCGTTGTTGTTATAACAATTATATGTTTATAACAACGAAGTTTACCAGATCCCTTAAGGCCGTTATAAACTACAGCCATTGTATATTAATGCCAATTTGAAAAGAATATTTTCGAACTACTAAAATTCTCTGACTTCTCCCTGTTTTGAAAATTCTGTGACTTTTCCAGTTAGCCACCCTGTGTATTATATTATATATTTTTCTTGTTTGTTGATTATAATATGGAATTTAATTTTCAATGTTACATTTAAAATTTTTTTTTAATCTCTTTTATTTATCGTTTAACTCAAGATCTGATAAGATTTTGATGTAACAATATTGAATTAAACAATTTTGATGATTATGCTCATTTTTAGGTGTTAATTTTACAATTTTACGTATTTTTGGTTTTTACATTTTGAATCTTTTGGCTGCGAGTTATTCATATTTTTACTGCATGAAAATCTGGTCTCTATTTATAACTTTGTTTGAAAGAGGAAAAATTTTGAAAGGGTGATATGGAGGAGATAAAATTAGTTTTATAATTTTCCTTTTTTAAGCCCTATTACAACATGAAAATCTTCTTCCTAATGATTAGTTATGATAGGAGAAACAATAACTATATTAACAAAATATTGGCAGTTATATTATTTTCCATTTCGATTAGTAACAGTAGTTGAATCAAAATATTTCTTAAATTAAAGGCACAAATTGGCGTATCACAAAACATGCTATAACCCTTGAATCCATGCATTAATATAATTTAAGTTACCATGATTAATCTTTATTGATATAAAAATATATAAACTTATAACAAATAAATAAAATTGAGAAACAAAATAAACAATAAGCAGTTTCAATAAGACATTATAGTTCTTACAAATTTAAAAACAAAATGATAAATGCAAGAAATAAATTAAGTAAAATTAAATTCAGAGAGTACAAATATTGTTCTTCTTGTTTTCTCGTGATCTTTCATATTTAAAAAAAATAAAGATAAGTAAAAAATCTAAAAAAATAAATAAGAAAAATATGGTGTCATGATCACTCAAATTTTAAAAATTTATATTTAAGATTTATTTATCATAAAAATATTTCTTCAATTAACATTAAATAAACAATATTAAATCTTGAATTAAATTAATAATAAACAGAACATAACAATTTTCACTAATAAGTTACTCATAGACTGATTTATTAGATCTATAAATATAACTAAATAAGTATCTATTGTGCAGTTTTTTAAGTCATTACATTTATTTTATTACAAATATACATTGTTTCATATATTTGTAAAAAATAACAAAGATTTTTATAAAATCGTAATGAACTGAACACAATTCAACAGAATAAATAGAGTAAAATATTTTACAAGTGTATTAGTTATTGCTGAGGTTATCAACTGACTACATAAGGTGTTCGGCCATTAAGGCATACAGTAGTAGTCTGGCAAAAGTATACAGGATACCCCACACCTAAGCTACCCTTTTATCCAAATCATATAAATATATATGTATATATATCAGTCGAAGCTTAGCATAGACTAGAACATTAAGTCATAAGGAAGAGCATCAATCAAGCACAGATAACCTTGAGCAATGAACAAAAAACAGACATTTTTATAAATCTATTGATTAGGAAAATAACTTTATCTCGTTAATAGACTGATTGAAGTTATCAATAGATTCTCTTCACAGTTTTATAATTGTTTCAAGAAGAATTTGAAAAGAAAAGAAAAAATATAAGCCAGTTGAATAATGTGAAATTTAGTCAGAGACTTGAAGAGGCTTCCGAGGACGAACTCCATCAGAAGGATTGCCACTTTCATCAGATTCTGCATCTGATTTTGAAGTATCAGCCTCGGAATCTTCTAACGGGTTTCGTCTATCATCTTGCACACCTTGATTGTTATTCTCAGGAGTAATGTTCATATTTTGTTCATCTCCTTTATCTTTTTGTGAAATATCACTGTCTTCCAATTGCTCTTTAACCACCTCATCAATCTTCCTCTCTGTAACCGTAATAGAGATATTATTATAGATCATAATGAGAACAATTATTTCATATAATGGATTAATTATTAGGTAATTATAAAAAATAATGAAATTGAAGCAAAGGTAACACTTCAATTTTTTTTTTAAATTTCAGACTGCAAAAAAAAAATCTGGTGAGCACTATATACAACTTTCACTTACTGCTCTACTTTGAATAGAAACTATTTTCTGCCATTGTTAGGCTATTATAAAATTTTTGAAGTGCATTTTAAACGGAGCAAAAGCTTAAAGCTTACAGATAACAAATCATTAAGACCATTCAAATTACAAAAATTCTATTTATTGTACAGAAGACATAAAAAATCTAGTTACTCCATCTGCTTTTATAAACCACACAACTTTAGTCTCTGAGCCTTTCGGTTGACAGAATGACTAACTCCAATTTCAACATTTTTGGGTAATGCGATTTTAGTGATACATCTAGTTGGAAAAGTTATAAGGCTTTGCAGGTCTTCTTCAGGAAGGTGTGTTCAGCAAGGAGTCACACTTAGAACTGATAAGGGAAATTCGACTGTTATTATGGACAAGACCGAATACTCATACAAAATGCAACAATTACTTTCAGACAATCAACTTACGTAACCTCCCGTCGTGACCCAACCCGTACACTAATGTTAAAATTCAACCAACACTTTAAAAACCTGCTTGAGACCAAACATTTCTAAGTGAAACTTCTTGCTGAACACACCTCCCTGAAGAAGACCTGCAAAGTCGGGTTGAAACGTTTGCTTTTAATAAAATAGTTATGCCCCTATTTAGTTTATTTATGACTGCTACCCCAGACCATCTCCTTCCTTAATAATAAAACGGTCAACTATTAAGTATTCAATATTAATTATTTCTTTAAGTAATTATTACTTTTGTAAACAACTAATGTTTGTGATATTTTACATATAAGTATTTATGAACTATAATTAAATAAAAAGAGTTTGTACAAAGAGATCTCAGGACCTAATCAAAACAATTGTTACTTGTGTTGCCTCTCACTAATCTGTGTAAATAGGTCTGAGGGCTGGTTATTAATTCAAATAAGAGCACGGTCCATAGGGCAGGAATTTTAAATTTTAAATTTAAAGGCCTCAGGCCATAGATGCAAAGTTCGCCTACAGCATGCAGAGCCCTTTCACCTTAAAATGCCTTCGGGCAATAAAAGGAAATTAGAATTTTTTATATATATTTATATATTGTATTTTATATAATAAATAAATTCCTGGGAATGGGGAAAAAAAAAAAGAAAGGGCCTCCTCGGGTTGTTGAACCCTGAAGGTTATAGGGGGTTGTCCCCTTTCATTCTTGACGGTCTTACTTCACCTACCTTAATACTGAGACCCAGTCTCTCCTAACCTATCTCCTTTCTCTTTTCGTAGGATTAACGTGGTTGTCCCACGTTTCCTGCAATACCCCTTGCACCTTCCCAGATTGTCCCTGTGAGTGTGAGGTCACTTATCCTTGCAACGTCTGGAGATTGCCTCCCCTCATTGCCCCCCAGGAGATTGCTCAGGATGCAGAGCCCAAGATGTTATAGGGGTTGTCCCCCTATCATTCTTGGCGGTTATACCTTATATTCCTCATCCGTCTAATTCTAAACTTATACACCCCATCTTTATTTAAATAAGGGTAAATAGATACACAAGGATCGGGTTATTTGACAGACAGACAAGAGATAGTAAAGTTAGAAGAACAGATTACATATTTTAAAGAGTAACGACCATAAAGTATCAGAGTGAGAGATATCATTACACTATACAGACAGTGAGTAAGTTGATTCCAGAGTAGGTAATTGCAGTGTTGAAATGTAGAACTGTGAATAAAGGTATAAATTTTGCAACTAGAAAGATCACTAAAATTAATAATAAACAATGTTGAAATTGGAGTAAGTCATTCTGCCAACCGAAACTCATTATGCCTAGAGAGATTTGAAAGTATTGTATACCTAAATATTTAACCTATAAATGATTATGAATTGTAGGACTATTAGTTATTAAACTGTTATTTTCCAATGTAAAGTTTACTAAAATGAAATTACAAGATTTTCAATGTCTGCCATGAGTATTTAACAAATATTTATAATAAAATTTAAGGTTTCTTAAATTACTTGTGATTCAATAAACTTTTAAATAAAAGTCAAAATGTTGTTGAAAGGGATAGAATTAAAATTAACTTCTAAAAATGCAATAAAATTCATCGCATGGACGGACGAACGCATGCACACACACTTTTCTACTGTATAGCAACCCTATGCAGGAGTTTATTTGCAAAAGCTTACAGACACCATCCGAATTCGCATATTATATGTATGAATGTTATACTTACATTTTATCTATGCTACGCTATTTTATTTTGTAGTGTATATAAGCTCATTTCTTATATATATATATATTTATAATTATAATAATAAAAAATATTGTAGTAATACATAAGATTTAGGGCACAACTTAATTGAAATTTATTAATTTCTTTTTTTATCACTTATATTAGTAAATAAACAGCGTTGGTTCAATAACACTTGTTCAAGTCTACAAAAATGTACATGATGCTAAATAATAAAAAGGTTGTGAAGATTTTATAGATGCTTTACCAAACTAAAACCAACGCACAAAATAAGGTTATACACAGTCTAATCAAATTTAACTATTATGGTTTTATGAAGTTTTATGGTTTTATAAACACTTCACAAATATAAGAAAAAAACAAAAAACGTATTCTGTATACTTTTATAAGTATATTCAGTATACTTATATTTGTTTTCTCAAATGTGAAGTTCATTAAAAACAACAAAATAAGACTTCATCTATCACTTAACCTAAACACCACAGAATATTAAGGAGATTTTATTTATTAAAAATTCAACAATAAATCATGAATAATGTTACAATAAAATTATTTTTCTGGTCTTTATAAAACTTTTTATGAAGGTGTTTAAACCTTTTCTTAAACTATCCTTAAAGATAACTTAAAATCATCATGATCAAAATAATACAATTAGATGCTGACATCTTCAAAGTATTAATAACAATGATAAGTACTTAGTACTTAAACTAAAAAATAAATCAAAATGGTACTTACCCACAGAAGAAGACCGACTACTAGGCCGTGATGTTGGTTTTACTTTATGTGAAGGATTGGGGAAACCGCAATATGCACAGCGGAATGCTAAAATAAAAAATTAATTTCAGTGAAGGTTGTACACTTCACTCATAAACATTTTATTTCATTCATCTATATATTTTTTAGAATCATTATAGTTACTAGGGGAGTATCCCCTATCCGCCTAAGGGCGGGCTAATCCTCATTTCGCAACTTATACAACTGTTCATTTGACCCTAAAAACCTTTTTATATAACAGAGAAATTTATGAACGATTATTTATTTATTTTTTTTAAAAAGAACAACATTAATTCCTTGTGAGATTACTTAAACTCTTCTGTGTGTCCAACAGTTTTTCAAGGAGAAATTAATTTTCACCACAGGTTTAGAAAAAAACACATTATTTTTGACCGATAGCTATAGTATGAGTACAATATTGAAACAATTTGGACTGTCAAAGTAAATTGGGGGTACATATTGTTTTAGAGAGGAACAAAGTTGTAATTAATTTTTCGCACTTTAAAAAACCTTTATAGTAATCAAAAAGTAAAAATTATTTACTCTAAATTTTCACCTATGTTAGAGGCTTTCATTTCAGTAATCGCAAAAGCGCTAAGGATTGAAAGAAATTAAAAACAAATTCGTCTTCAAATATTAAATTAATAAATATTTACTTGGTCTTCTTTAATGGAAACATTATTTGTTTTTTTATAATTTTTTATAAATTCGAGCTAATTTAAAAGCATCAATATTTTATAGTAAAAAAAAAAATCAATTAATAGCATAATTATAATTATGTTGTTAGTGTTTATACATATATATATATATATATATATATATATATATATATATATATTGTGAAATCAAAGCAGTAAAAAGTGAATTCGAAAAGAGAAATATGTTCTGAAAATATTTTTTGTTAAGCACAACTTTAAAATAACAGATTTCATATTTTTTTCCCCCCAGATCTATGGTATAAAACATTGGTTAACCACAAAATTAAATTAAACTAACTCTAATTAGATAAAAAATAATAATCTATATTTGCATTTCATCTTTAATAAAGTAAATATAAAACCTTACCAAGATATTCAAATTCTTCCCTCAGAGCCATACCATTGTGCGAGGAACAATTCTTACATATAAGGGCATATCTATTGCTCGGCCCATCTCCTACTATCGACTCTATTAGCCTGTCGATCCAATTCCTTTCTCTTGGGATGATAGGTCTGACCAATAGCCCTATCAAGAAGAAATCATAATGGAGAATAGCTTATGAAAACCTACGTATTACTTATAAAATATTATTAAATTATTACTATTGTAAATGATCATCTACTACCTTTAATAATAATAAAACAATTGGAGAGGGGGAGATGGGAGAATTGAATCATAGTATTGCAAGTTTACTTTTTTTTATAAGAAGGTAAATGTTACATATATATTAATTAAGAACATAGAATCCACTTTAATAATATGTTATGTTTAGTTATTGCATCTATTTTAAGTGCTATTTTTGGCAAAATTTAATTAAACTTTATTTGCTATAGCACTCAATTTTCTTTAAAAAAATGGAAACTATGTCTACAGGAAAAGGCACCCTTCAACAAATCATTATCTTTTAGAACCTCTCCTAGACTATATAAAACATTTAAATCCTAAGGCAAAAAGAAAAAAATTGTATATATATATTTTTCATACCATGTTGGTTCTGTTCTACAAGATTACTGTGCTCTTAAAGTTGCTTAATTTATATATTTTCTTACTAGTTTTTTTATGAATGTTTTAATTTTTACCAAGATAGAATATATAAATATTTCTTTCTTTATATTTTACGTTACGTTAGTTATTTTTATCTGGTGGTTGTTTACTAGAGGAATTTATTTTTTAATTATTGCTTTTGTTCCGATCTTTTTATTTATTTTTTCAGCTAAACAATGATTATATAGTTTAATTTCTTATTTGTATTGTAGGGTAAAGTCACCAGCAGCACTAGACACTTTTGTGAGACTGTTCCAATAATTTTAAATATAACTCGTTAGATTCTTTTCAAGCTTCCTGTTTTTGCTATATTTGTCCAACAACACTCTTATGTGACCTAAATTCCTTCTAAAATAACTTAAAATATTGATATTTACGTCGGTTTTTAGGTAATTTTCGAGAACATGTTTTTTCACCAATAGTAGACAAGAAAACACAACAGTAGTTGACACCACTTAATTAATATATTTAATTTATTTCTAATCAAATATGCACCTATATTGACAGTTTTTACCAAAAAACTACTATTTAAAAAAATACAAACTTCAAAAAACAAAAAAAATATTTTTTAAATTAAATTACATTTATAGGTAAAAAGGAATACGACAAAACTTTAATTTAATTTTTTTTTTTAAGATGCACATTTAGTGTTCTCTGTTTGGTTCTTGCTTATGCTTAAAAACACGTACTACCTATCTAAATTATTCATCAAATAAATTTTGGGCAGAAACAATCCAAAAAAAAAAAAATTTACAGCACGTATTATCACAATTATTTATTTTTGATAACGCAACAAAACTTATTCAATTAAATTGTGAAATTAAAGTAAATGAAAATGTAAAATATATGATCATCAATAAATTCAGTCCTTAAAAACGTAGTTGTGAGATCAGTCAAGATCTAAGCTGAATGGAAATTGATTTATTTTTTTCTTTTCGCCAAATATTAGAGGCTTTTGTAGTTTGGTTACAATGTCATAATCACTTACTATCAACTTTTTATTTTCCTGAAATTTAAAAACTGTCTTCAATCTGTTACAAACTTTCAAAAGCATAACACATGCCATATTCATTAACCCCAAAATTTGAAAGGCCACCTTGGTAACTCTTTTTTTTTCGAGAGATTGCGAAGTCATTTTCACTTAAACAAAAATCTTCAAGTGTAGCAATATCTTCAAGTGCAGCAATATATTCTGCTGTGGTTTCAACTGTTTTTTTTTGTGGAACTGCCTCAATATTCTGAATGATGTCATCAGCAACTTTATGTGTGTTGATCATTTTTTTCTTTCATAAGTTAGTTATTTTTCAACAATTTCTTTTTGTGAACAGAAAATTTAATTAACACCCAAGTGGGCAGTTACACATGTTGAAAAATAATTTACTTTTATTAATAATTACTGACGATGACCGAAAGGTTGAAAATATAGTTTAAACAAAGAAAAGAATTTGTACGTGAAACAAAACAATATTTTAAAATCAATTTTTATTACATTTAAATAAAAATGTTTCAAAATTTTTATGTCAATTCATCAACAAAATTTTTCATTAGTTATTAGTTATCGAGTTTTCAGGAGCTGCGGCTGAAAGAAATGCTTTAGGATGACAGTGGAATTTCTTGTTCCAGTAGTAGAAATGTTTGTGAACCACAATTAGACGCCCCTGTTTACTACTGGAACAAGACATTTCCTGGGAAAAATTCGAACACTCCCATTACAATAGAACTATGGATGATAATTAATCATTACTACAAAAAAGCTCAGTTTTCTAGTAGTAGACACTCCGGTCTACTACTGGAACAAGAGATATTATCAGTATCCCAGTAGTAGACAGTTTGTTTTTGTGCTCAATCAAACAAAACTAACACACAAATTCATGTTACCTAGTAAGTTCATTGTGTACACTACCTACCATTTAGAGAAACAATTTGTGAAAAATTTTGGAAAATAAAGAACAATTAATGAAAATCAAACTCCCCTCCTTAGCTGATTTGGTAACAACTTTTCTAACCTTTCCACTGCTCACTTGGTTTCCTACCGCATTCTAGTGCCTATACAGTATCAGTTAAATTTTAAAATGACAATAAATTCAAACCATTCTGATGGTTCCAACTATTATTTTTTTAAGTTGAAGTTTCATGTATCTACTACTGGTACCTTTACCATATTTAGTTCTAAGCATTTTATATATAGTTTCTTCAGTCTGATTTGTATATTTTGTTAGTTTACATAAGGTATTTTATTTATTTAATGTAACTCTTCTTATTTAATTTAGTTCTCTGGCCAGAAGTATTCTTCTGTTCAGTAAAATTTTGTTATTCTTAAGGGACTTTGTCCCAGAATAAAGTAATTTTTCTATTTCTATTTCTATATATATATTTTCCTCAAGGATATATATGATGTTTCTGATGAACCAACATTGTTCACACATGATTATGAAATACTTGAGAGAGAGAGAGTGAAAAGAGGGCATGGATATTAGGCAAGTTTGAAATTAATTCCTGTCACCATTAAGCTTAGTAATTTAAATTTCACATGAAAATATTGAAGCTGGTATACATGATAGAGTAGTAATAAATAATATTATTAGACTTGCTTCAAAATATAACTACAGTAGAGCGTTGATTATTCGAACATCAATCGACCAGACTAATCTTTAATTTACTTACCAAATTGGGATCAGTTTGAAATGTTTTCCACAATTGAAAAATTAACCAAGAATTAAAAAAAAAAAAATAAATAAGAAACCTCTAACCTGTGGATAGTGCAAATTTTGACCTCAACTATTATCAGAGGAAACTCTTACTTAAAATAATGATCAAACTAGGGTAGATGAAGAAATAAGTCTAAGTTTACTATCTGAAAAAAATTGTTAATGTGGTGATGATGCTATCTGTAAGCCAAGAATGTGATATTCAGGATGTAATAGATTGATTTTCCTTAGATGTGAACAAGCAATATTATCAAATTTAAATGAAGATGAAATATTAAAGACTTAAAAGCAGAGGAAACAAAAGAGAACAAAGAAAGCTAACAAGGAGAAATTTATTAAAAACCAAGACCCTCACCTACCAATTCTATTTTAGCACTTTAAATACCAATTGAATGAGACATAAAAACAAGAATGTATTGGCTAGTCAAAATTATTGCTTAACATAAGAAGGAGTGTAAGATAAGACATGAGGCAGCTCAAAAAATGGCTGGTAAAGTTAAAGTAATTGAAAAACGGATAGTTATTAAATGGATAAGTCTGTAAGAAGATCACATGGCTTGGCAAAGATATTCGTGACCCATAATGTCAATTAAAAAAAATTCCTTTATCTGGACTAGGGGTGGATAATGGATCAGTACAGATAATTTATGCTCTACTGTAACTTATAAGCTAAATTAAGTAACAAAGTAAACTTTTCATATACCAAACACTAATAAAATTTATTATACATACGTTGGGGAGAACGTTCCGAAAGGCTTAAGCGTTGAGGGGAACTTTGTCTACGTTGAAGTATCATAGGAGCCACAGTCTTTTGATGTACTGGACTAAATCCAGAAGGCTGTGATGTTGGTAATGCTGGTAGCTTTGCCACCTGAAGTTGTTGCTGAGGTGGTGGAGGACCAGGTGGAATAATTTTGGAATCCTTAGGAACAGGAACTTTGAGATTGGTGACAGATGATGACAGCGGCTTAACAGTTGGCTCCTGCATTAGGTACAATAATTGAGTAATTAATTGGAAATACATAAGCATAATGATGACTAAGTACCTATAACAATAATCACAACTTTAAAGTTTTAAAAGAATTAATAAATATAAGGCCACAGCAAGAAAAATAAATCAGAAAATTATTTAATAGCAGGGCTGATTTTTATTGGTTTGATTAATACATCAAAGCTGATTAAACAAGGAAGTTATTTTAAAAGTGGGAATCTATAGTTCAGTAATAGGATAATAAAAAACATCGTGAATAATCCATAATTTTATGAAAAATAGAACTTTAAAAAAACACAATTAATTTCACAAAATAGCATAATACACTTAAGGAGTTAAAAAGTCTGCTTTAAGTGGTTTAAATAAAGACAAACTACTACTATTTGAAGGTAACCGTTTCAGACTCATCTGTGTACATAGACCTACAGAAATCTCAGAGGATGATATGAAAGATGATTTCTACGAAGAGCAGAAGAAATGTTTTGATGACTGCCTTGCTCATGATATAGAATTGTTAACAACTCATAATATAGTTGTTGGAGATTATAAGGCCCAAATTGGAAAACAGAAAAGCTTTAGGCAAACTATAAGCGGATGTAGTCTTCATGAGAACTTCAATGAAAATGGCAAAAGGACAGATTATTTCGCAAGCTTAAAGGACTTTGGCATGAGGAGTACCTGCTTCAAACCCAAATTAGAGCACTTAAAAAAACAGAGAAAATTCGGACAGGAAAAACTAACCAGAAAAGACAATGAGAAAATAGAAATCTGCAGGAGATAGAAAAGATCTTCATTTCTCAAATCACAAGAGAATTCTTTCAGATGGTCAACAAAAGCAGGCCTTCCATTATTCATAACGCAGCTTGCAGAATAAAAGAAGGCACCACAATAACCGACAAGCATGCTGAATACTTCTCACTCCTTCTTAACAAGGGCATCACATATACTCATGAAGCAGATAATGCTTATTGGTGGTGAGGACGTATAACTCCTCCGCCCCTCCCGATAAAGAAGAGATATAGTAAGTCATAGAAATGTTTAAAAACAATACAGCCACAGGCATTGATAATATCCCGGTAAAGCTCTTCAAACCTGGTATCTCAGAACTCATAAAGCTTCTCCAGGAGGAATTGTTCCTTGACACATTGAGTAAAAAACAACTTTCAAGTAACAGGAAAAAAATCCATTATATCCCCAATATAAAAAAAAAAATACACTATTAAAATCACAAAATAGCATAGAATGTGATCTAGACAAGAGCATAGATTGTGAGACAGCAATGGTTAAGCTGATTACCAATGGTTAATCAGTGCTGTTTCTCTTCAAAAGGATCCTCGTAGTCATCAGTTTTCAAAGCAGTCTAAAATAAGAATCTACAAGATACATTGGGCCAGAACACACATATGGCTAAGAGAATTGGACCCTAACCAGAATAAAGATCCCTTCTCAGATTTGAAAGGGAATCAATCCAAAAAATATGCAAAAATGAGTTATAGTTCGGTTTTAAATCAAGTCCTTACTAGTTTCAACTATTAATGGCTGAATCAATTTTTAAGTTTGATGGCTTAAATTATTCGGTTAGATCCTGTGAGTGTTTTGAAAGAATTTGAGCTAATAATAGAACCATTATTAAATAAAATGTATTTAATAAATTTGTAAAAAGCTTAGTAACACTGTTTGAGCAAATGGCTGGATCGATTTTTAAGATTGATGATTATTTATAATTTATAATTATTTGGTGGGATCTTTTGAGTATTTTGAAATGATATCATGTGATCATATGTTATGAAAATAAATTGTTGATCATTTAAAAACTAAAAATTTTAAAATAAAAAGTATTTGATTTAAAAAAAAAAAAACGACAATAGAAATTGAGAAATTCTATACACTTTAGGAGAATGTACTTCCATATCTACATAAACATCTTGGTAGATTAATAGGGACATTGACATCTACCAATATTTAAACTTGGTGTAGTAGTCGGGTGCCACACACACTCTAAACAAAATTTAAGACTCTTATTCCCAATTACTGTAGTCAGGTTTCTTTTAATTCAAATAATTTCGCCATTTTGTCCATATATCTCGGAACACAATGGACAATTTCACTTGGTAACTTCAAATTCAGATTCAGCATTCCAAAAAACATAAAAAAACTGAAGAGAAACCTGAAATTGAAATTTGAATTTTTCATACATTCAACTTCCATTAGACTAGAATATTTTGATGTTGGCAGTCGAGGTGAATTCTATTTTAGGGAAACATTCTTTAAACCATATAAAAATTTCAGCCATCAGTTCTTCCGATAAATGAAACATCAAATTTCACCACTTTAATTTTAATTTTCGTATAAAAAGCAACGGCTTTCCACCAACAGAACGAAGTTGTGAGCTCAGATGAGGTTTATCTACAATTAAAAATGGTTACTAACTATAAATCCTTCAGTTAAATGAAACTCCTAGTCTGTAGTTCCTAGTCTATAACTAGCTATCCAGTTCGAATAGACCGCAATGGAATTCAGCTTTGAGATCAAGTATTTTTTTATTAAAAAATAACATATCTCCACCATTTTCAGCAAATATTAAATGGTGGTTCTACATTCAATAAGGAACTAATTTCCATATTTGCTGCCAATTAAATGAGTGACATATCCTATTATAATGCATTCCAGAAAAAGAGACATATCTACAAAGACTGTCATCATTTTCTTTCGATGTTTTTACAATAAAGGATAGATAAATTAAACAAGTAAAAGCATAAAATAATTTTCATTTAATGTTTAATTTTTTAATGATTTGAACATTAATTAATAAATAATTGAACAGAGGCAGAGAAAATAAATATAAAAAGTGCATACAGGCCCTGATTTTTTTAGCTGTTCTGGTGCATATTTCTCAAGAATTTCTTTGGCAACTTTGTAAGTTTCAGTGTTCATAACATCTTCCAAAATTTTCTTTTTTTTAGCTTTCAAATCCGAAAGTTTATCTTTGTTATGTATTATCTCTCTTTTGTAATACCAAGTAATAAACTTCTTTAGGAGTACTATACTAAAAAAAAAAAATGTATTTATCAGTTACTTACTTTTTTAAAAATAAATTTTCTGTAAAAATAATAAGGTATATAATATGACTTTGCTGATAAATTTTATCTTAGTAATGAAACTCAACACATTTTGACCTTCTTCCCATTACTCAGGGAGTGAGTGGGACAGCTTAAAGGACAATGATAGAACTCATGACTCCCAGGAGAAGCTTTTAAGTACAGTTGAGACAGATAATTATTTATTTTGTTTTATCAGTCCTGGATTGACCATAGGATTGGAAGACCTACTCTTTACTGGGGAAAAACCAGGCAGTCGAGCAATTCAAGTCGAACTATTTCCTTACAAAACCCGAATGTAAGGGCACTCAAGTAAGTTCTTTAGAAAATGGCTTTTTCAAAATAAAATCAAATATAATTCAGTAAAGAATTGATACTCCATACCTATATATCCAACATTGAGAGAAATAAAAAGGAGTCCAAATATTTAGAATAAATGCTGTACCAAAACATTTGTCTTCAATTAACATTTTGATTGTTTGTATGTTAAAAAGCAAATAAAATTTAAAAAATGAAAATAGTTGAGCCACAATGCTATTTTAGGTTTTACTTCACTGAACAAGAAGTTTGTCAGCTTGCCCAGAGACTTTCTTCTATTAAACATGGAATCCTTTGATGACAGCTTATTCTAGGTGTGTGAATTCTATTTTGACAAGCAAATTACATATTTCAGACTATATATTGGTAACACACTTTTGAAAACCGTGAAATATAAAACTATTTGTAAAATGAAAAAAAAGAAAGAAATAATAATACCAATAAAATATTAGTAATTAGGGATAACATTTTAATTAATGTACATTAAATATGAATAGAATATATTTTTGAAAGATTGTTGATACAAAATAAATACATTTTTATTTGGATATTATTAAACTAAAAACTCCTATTTTTTCTTTTAGTATTTCTGTCAATAAAACCATGTTCAAAAATTCTCTCACATTTTCCAAGCGTTCCAGCCACACTAGGTTACGTTAATATCTGAGCTATTTTTTTTTTGTCTTGATGTAGGCCAACTTTGGATCATAAAAATATCACTTAGTCTTTTTATTTTCTCCTCCTTCCCTTACAGGTCCTCCTCCAACCCCATCGTTCCCACAATCCTCTTTTCCACAGCAAGAATACTCATTTGGTTAACATGTTTCTCAAACTCGACTCAATCTATCTATACAAATCTCTCTGGTAATATTTAGTTTGACTATTTCGTTCTTAATCTGTTCTAGATAATCCTTTATATTCTAGAGTACTAGTATTCTATCAAAAATTGTCTTATTTAATTTATTTCTGTCAATATATCCAGACCATATGTACATAAAATCGTATTCTTGTATTTCTCATTGATGTCTCCATGTTCTCTCTCCTTATATAATACGTAACTATCCTTCATTCACTATCCTCCCTCTCAATTTTCTTAGGGCCCAAATATTAATCACTTAATATTAACAGTTTCTTTCATTAGAAAAAAGATATTTAAGACCATTTTACCAAGGAAACAAAATTAGTAAATTTATTCAATTTTAAAGACAAATAGAAAACAGACAGTGCATAAAATAATTACAAAAAATATTGATAAAATTTTAGTGGAATACAAGCTGCCTGGTTTAGAAATTGTTAGAAATCCTATTACCCAACAGCTAGCTGAAATAGTGAAATCACTAAAATTAAAACAAAAACACCTTCATTTGAAACAAGATTGCTTATATTTACTGACATCAAGGCAATTTAAAACCAAATTTTAGATAAAAGATTGATAGATAAACACATTACTAAATAGAAACTATTCATAGTAAGTACTAACCTAAGATTGCCAAAATAACTAATAAAACAGAAGTCAATTTACTTACAGAAGAGGAAACATCAATAATGGAATCATATAAAATATCCTGTCAGTCAAGGAGGCAGGAAAAAAACAGAAATAAAAGAGAGCAGCGGCTAACACATACAGTAAAACTGAATAAATGATTAGCCGTCCCACCACATAATTTTGGCGCTGCAGGACTTGGTTTCGGTCACTTTCAAGAACTTGTATATCCTACAACAAACAAACTAAATGTTATTTGTGAATAGCTTACAATTTTTAAAAAATTTAATTGAGTAATAATTTATTTATTTTGAAATAACATAGAAAATACATACTGAAGAGAATTTAAGTACTTACATTCTGAATTTCCTCAAGTATTTCATCTGCTGATTTTTTTCTCTAAACAAAAATAACAACAAAGTCAAACAAATAGGAAACTGATTTAGTTTACTGAAGTTAGTAACCATTTAAATAACAGGTAAAAAAACTAATTTATGACCAAATAATAGTACAGAACATCCATAGAATACAATTCAATATCCTGAATGGTTAGTCAATGACTATTACCAAAATCTTAAGGATATCTTGAAAAGAAATCATCCTTCTTGTTAGTGCAGGGATATTGAGTAGCTGAACAACTGATAAATTTTCTATTCTGGGGCTCAAAACCTATTTTTAATTTATAACATGTACATCTGCCATTTCAGATTTGAGGTTAAGTTTGATCCCCAATAACTTCTTTTAGGATTATCATGTAAAAGAATTCTAAAAACTCATACAAACTTTGACACAACTTACCCTAAACCTAGAAAGTATGAGCCCCATAGTGCGACAATATGTTTTTTCACCGCCGGTGTAGTAATTCAGCTAAATCATGTAAACTTCTTTCATTGGCAGTGGTGAGTTAACACCAATGCTATAAAGTCTCTTGGTAATGTAAGAGCAAATATATTATTTCCATTACTCATTGAGAGATAAACGTCAATAGTTTTGAAGGCTGATATAGAAAAATCATAAAATATTGTAATACTTCAAAAAATACATTGGCGCCATGATGTTACGTGAAAGTGAAAGCCATCTATATTCCACGGTGGTATTATCAAAATGAAAATTATGTAAAAGAATTGGGTATATTATTAAATTTTTCAGTAATATACGTGAATATAATTAGTACTTCTATTACATTTCTTTGTTTTGAAATACAAAAAATATAAAATATCAAGCTAAACTGTGTGAAATATTGACATTTTATCAAGCACCAACCATTTCATTGATAATGAGATAACGTATTTACGGAAAACTTCAGATGTGAGTATATACTTATTACTTTCGATTATTAAGGTTTGCATTAAAAATGTTAATTCGTAATTTGCATTGGTATATCGACACGATTTCCATTGAAAGAAAAATCATAATCTCATAAATCATAATAAAATTAATCTCGTCTTCTAGACCTCTCCAAAAGTCCTCCACCTTCTCCGGGCCCCTCCTGTTATCTTCATTTATGGGTGCGTGAGCATTTATTAGCGTGTATTTTTTGTTAGTTGCTTTTATTGTGAGGAGTGATAGTCTGGAAATTTCTTATCTATTACAAAGGCTGTCCCTAGGTGTGGAATCCCTTTCATGATTTTCCTTCCTGGCTTTCCCTTGAGTATTCTATACCCATCGAACTCAGTTGCTTCTGAGTCTGTGAACCTGGTCTCTTGCAATGCCATTATGGATATTTTCAATCTACATAATTCTGTTGTAAGTTGTCTGAGTTTTCCCACTTGTATGAGCGAATTTATGTTGGACGTCCCAATGTAATATTTTTGTTTTGACTTGAATTTCTGTTGTTGGTTCTTTTGGTGCTCCGATTCACCACCTCTCCGCTTCTCACTGTCGGGCACCCTGGAATCCGATCGCCCGACTTTGTCTTCAGGGTAGTATTTTTCGTGTGAAGCTCCTTCCATGATATTGTAAGTGTTTATTTTTGGGTCAGGTTACCCCGACTAAGTACAACTAGGGTAGTTAGCCCTAGAGGGTTTCGTCTTAGTTCCTCCATCCCTAGCCTTCTATCGGGAATAGAGTTATCCAGCCGTACCACGTGGAGGCGCGCGTTCCTTAGGAGTTTTAGATGGAATGCAAAAGGCTCTCCTAAGGACGCCGAAACAATAACGGCCGAAGTATACCTATATTATTTTAAAAGACAGCAAATATGGGGGAAAATGAAATTATGCCGATAAAGATTGACTGTTAGGATGATTGGATATCATGCTCAATGATATTTAGAATTTACAATTAGGTTCATTTCGGTTATTGATTCTACATCGTTGGTATTATCTAAGGTCGTTTTTGTGTAATAAGTGATTCTTGTAGAACTTAAGATTTTCTTTTATTGGTTTTTTTTTACAAATGATTTTTCGTCAATAGATCGATGTTGTTATTTAAGTTTAATAAGCATTTTTCATTGTTTTCTAATGTTTTCTACCCTCTCAATCATGGATCTGGTCACCGACTTACCCGCCAAATTTTTCCCTCCAGGACCCAAAAACTTCAGTATTCAAGTGGGAGTCATATTAAAATGCCAGGAGAAATCTGTGTATTGAAATATACTAAGCTTTCGGAGCTAGCTCATGCTCCCGTTAGAGGCTCTGAGTACGCAGCTGGATTTGATTTAAAGAGGTAAATTTATTTAAGATCAATAAATTGGTGTATTTCTTCTAAATTAATGAATGGTTATGAAGCTTGTGCGTGACCTACTATTATATTTGGGTATAATAGGTATCTGATTATACTATATAAATATAGTTTTATTCTTCTATATAAATGAAGTACACTATTTTTCCCAAATTGCTTTGTTAAGGGAATTAATGGTTTATTTTATTAAATTTTGAAAATGGTGTGGAATGGATTGCTCAGGAATCTTGTGTTAATTTTGTTATCGATTAGGATTTGTTTTCATAAAACTGTATTGTTTTATTGATGCTCTTATTTCTTCTATGATTCTTATTATGTGGGAGTATCATATATCCTTGAATATCAAATGGTGCAGGGCTTGAGATTATAACTTAGTATATTAAAATTTATGTCATATTCTCTTTCTGTAACTTAATTAACCCCTTGATGGACTTGATAAGTCCATTGTGAAGATTTGCTTTGATTAGTGCCTCATTAAAAGTATATCAATAAAATAAATCAATAATCTATAAACCACTTTAATTTTGTGTTTACATCTTTTTTGAAATGAAGTATTTTTTTCTCAGTGCCTATGACTATGTTGTCCCGGCACATGGAAAAGAATTGGTTAAGACTGATTTACAAGTCCAAATCCCTGATGGTTGCTATGGAAGAATCGCTCCACGGTCAGGACTGGCTTGGAAAAATTTTATAGACATTGGAGGTACTTATAACGATTTTATGACTTTAAAGTTTTTTTGTTTGTGTTATCCATAGTGGTATAATATTTATTTTCAGCTGGTGTCATTGATGTTGACTATCGTGGTAACGTTGGAGTTGTAATATTTAATCATGGAGATTCTGATTTTATAATAAAAAATGGAGATAGGATAGCTCAGCTTATATGTGAGAAGATAGCCTATCCTTGTTTAGAGGAAGTTAAGGTATCCTTTTATCTCATGATGTATATTTGCACTTTGTGTTTTATATTTTATCTATATGTTATAATATTATTTACAGAGTTTGGATGAAACAATACGAGGTCATTCTGGATTTGGCTCTACGGGTACTAAATAAAGTCAGAATTGCTGTATCATGTATGAGCTTTGAAACTGATCACTTAATTCAGTATCTGTTACTACCAAAGGATTTTTGTTAATTTCGTGTTAGTATTGTATATATGTATTTTTTTTTTTTGTTTATTGCTTGACCGTATTGCATTAAGTAAAAAAGCTATTAGTTGTTATGATATTTCTAAAATATTTTGCTCTGATGATTAATATTGAAGTTGTAACAATGGATAGAATGTGTGATTATTCTTTTGTAACTCCTAAACCTTATTGTTTTTATTTAGATGAAACAACAGTTGATAAAACACTTGTTCAAATATTTTATGTTCTATGTTAGTTAAATTTTTGTTCTTACTATTATTCTTCTAAATTAATTAAACAAATAATTTAGATTATTTAAAAAAAAAAAGCTGATATTCGAATATGGCTGATTGATAGCAATAGTTGTCATCAAATAAGTTGAGCTTCACTGCCAGAGCCTGGTGAACAATTTTCACCACATTGTTATACCTCTGGAGATACTCTGTGCCAGCTAACACTCAACACCCACTTGTGATATGTTAGATTGATTCCGGCGTCGCTGAGCATTGCAGAAGAATTCTGTCCATTTAACACTTAATTTCTCATCCCCTATAAAATTTATTGCAAACTACTAACACCATGTATATTTTAAGTTTGAAGGAATATCAATCCTTGTTGATTGTCAATTGTCATTTATTTTTTAAATATACTGTCACATTTTTCATTTTTATCAATCATTGTAATTATATATGAAATATCCTCATTTTTTACATTTAACCCTGTCATTTACCAAAGCCTATATCATGTGTAATCCTCTGCGCCATCAGTGATGTTTTAATTATTTTTTATTACAATAAGTGAAATCTCCATGGCTAAGGCCATATAACTTTTTATCAACACAGCATTGTCTTCAAGCCTATATTTTAAAATTTGCAGTGAAAATTCAAAACCTTATCTAAACAGATAATGCCATAGACCATCAACAAAGTATCAAGAAAAGGCACCAATAGTCTGGTTAAAGGTACTATTTCGCTGGCGCGGTCCATGACCGCGACTGCTCGTAGTTGACCACTGCTTTAGTGGAATAGAAAGGAACCTATTTCGTTGGCGCTGCTCGGCAGTCTAGGTATGACGTCATATCTAAGCTGCTCCTATCTGACTCCCCCTATTTATCACCCTTATTAATTTTAATAAATGATAAAATCTTGATTTAATTTGGGGATTTTCTTGAGTTAAGTTGTTTACTCTGATTATTTAGGTAAAATCTGTTACAATGACGAAGAATTGTGAGCCTTATTTATTCAGCCAGTATTTAACTCAACATTTTTAAATATACTTCAGAGACGGATTTTTGTTTACTCAATATCAATCAATCACATCCAACAAAATTTGACTTCATTAATGCCTTAAAATTAAGAAATTGCGAAATGAGGTCATGTCAAAAGAAAGCCATTACCTTTCTTGTCAAAAGAAGTTTTAATACATGTTTTATCATAAAGGATACATAGGGAAAGCTCCTAAATTCAGCACTAATCTCATCATAGCAAAAGTTTAAGAGTGTCAGCAGGAAGTGAGCACCGTGTTTAATTGGATTTTTAAATTTTCTAAAATCTTTAGGTAATTTAATTAGATTTTTTTAAATACATTTTCTAAATTGAATTGCTAATTTGGGAGGATGGAGTATCAATTTCTCATTACCTCATAAATGGGTTTATTAAATTATTTAATTAAAAAAATATATATATAATGATCTACTATGTATGTAGATCATTATATATATATTTTTATTATGCAAATAGGGTAAACAAAGTATTTGAGCATCTTTTTTTATTTTATTTTATTTATTTAATGAAATTTACAACTAGTAAAAATGCACACATTGGAAATAATGACATGAACAGACTTGAAGAGATACTGCCCAGTGGTAGCACTCCATATTTAATTCTAGGTGAGAAGATCACTTGTCCATCTTTTCAGACACCTAGGGGGGTTATCAGGAATCGAGGAAGAAGCAAGGCTGGAAATAAGCGGATTCGGATGGGACTGGAGTTTATCATGAAAGGATAGTTATCTGGCTCGTGCTAAATCAGCGACTGAGCATCTTAACACAAATATATAAAGTTTTAGTAAATATCAATTAATATTGTTTGACAAGTGTTAAAATAGTCCGTTACATTAAATTTTGTATACAAATTAGTTCAAGCCTGGTGCACTCATCTGGAGGGTACCTACCACTTATTGGGAATTATAAAAAAGTACATAACCTATAAATGAAGCAATTTAGTTACAGACATATTGGAGAGAAGTCCACTAAAATAATGTATGTACAATGAAAATATAAAATTAAATCTTCAGTATTTTAATATTTGACTATGTGAACTGGAGAAAAAATTAATAGACTTTGGACATAGAACATAATGGTTGTTCCTTGTGCAACAAATATATTCCACTGGCTGCCTTATGACTACTGAGTTCGAAAAGCTTCCATGTTGGTAGCAAAAGTTTGCAAGTATGAGGCAGAGTGAGATTACCTATAGTATGATTAATAAAAAACATCAAAAATAATTACTGTTTTTATTCACCCTTGTGTTTTTCAATGTTTGATATTGGCATTCAGTTTATGGGAGGAACTCTATAATATTTATTTGGCAAATATGTAGACTCTTCAAAGATCCTTTGCCAGAAGGTTCTATCCACTCCAGTTGTCTTTTATTTTCTGTCATTCAAGGTATGCTTGACATTTGCCCACTGAAATCTCAGTCTGCCACTTCTGATATGGTCCACTATTTCTGCTTGCAGCTTTTTTGGCAAAATCTTCCTCTTTCATTCTACTATTTATAGTATGTAGCATATTAAACATGACACGTCAGTAGGTTAATTTTTTATCTAAATAATAATTTGTGTTGGCTATTAAAACATTTTATACTCTTCATTTAATATACATTTTCCCTATTTACCATTTACATTAAGTGCCCCCGAAATTCTAAAATCTGAATTCGTTTAAAGACATCTATTCATTCTTTGATATGATCCATATTTGAGTTATGGACTCATAATATCATTTTTATTTGCTTGAATAAATTTGCTGGTTTAGAGGAAACTGAGTAATATATAGCATTTCCAAGTCAATTTCAACCTTTTCCAAGTCAAATTCAACCTTTTCCAAATCAAATTAAACTTTTTCCAAGTCAAATTCAACCTTTTCCATTTCAAATTAAACCTTTTCCATTTCAAATTCAACCTTTTTTTATTTATTTAATTATCTTATTTTTTGATGTGTGGGTCTGTTATCCTATGAGTAGTTTTTGAAAATAACCTCCTTTTTAAGATTACTGACTAAGTTTCAAATCATTTAAGTTTTTTTGAATTATTCGATATAAGGGTGTATTTTTATGTTTCCCGATCAGTAAATTTTGAAAATGACATCCATTTTATGTTTACGCCACTGTGTTTTGGTTTATTTAAGTTTTTAGAATTTATCCAATATAAAGGTCTACTTTTATGTTTCTGGAGCCATAGATTTTGAAAACGACCTCCATTTTAAGATTAGGTCACCGCGTTTCGACTTATTTGAGTTTTTCGAATATTTTTCATATGACGGTGTATTTTTATGTTTCCGGAGCTGTAGATTTTGAAAATGACCTCCATTTTAAGATTAGGCCACCGCGTTTCGACTTATTTAAGTGTTTTTGATTTATTCGATGTAAGGGTGTATTTTTATGTTTCCGGAGCTGTAGATTTTGAAAATGACCTCCATTTTAAGATTAAGCCACTGCGTTTTGACTTATTTAAGTTTTTCGAATTTATTCCATTTAAGGTGTATTTTTATGTTTCTGGAGCTGTAGATTTTGAAAATAACCTCCATTTCATGATTATGCCATTGCATTTTGACTTATTTAAGTTTTTCGAATTTATCCAATTTAATGGTCTACTTCTATGTTTTCGGAACCGTAGATTCTGAAAATGACCTCTATTTTATGATTACGCCACTGCGTTTCAACTTATTTAAGTTTTTAGAATTTAACAAGTATAAAGGTCTAATTTTATGTTTCTGGAGCAGTAGATTTCCCCCATTTTGTAAATGACCCAATTTCAAGTTTATGCCACTGTGTTTTGGATTATAAAAGTTTTTTTTTTTTTACTTTTTCGGTATAAGGATCTACTTACATGTTATCCGAGACGTATTGAAATTTTTCTAATCTTTAATATTTAAATTTATCTAATATTTAAGCTCCATCTCGAATAATTAGGCTTCATTTTGGATTTTTTCAATACAAAGTTTAATCAATATGTTTTCGAGTATGAATAAATAAATAAATATTATGAATCTAAAGTTAAATTAACCGCAGAATACAAATTAAACAGCCGAAAAGCAGCTGGTAATAAATTTAACCTTCCGTATTCAGATTTTTCAGCTAATTGTTCGAAATCTTATAATTTTGTGACAGGAGACCACAACATTAAAAAAGATAACTAAAATTAAATTAAAAATGAGACAATACATATTTTATTTATTTTGATTAGATATTTTTTTATTTATTGAAAAATAAATTAATCCTTCGTATTTTGTTTTTTATTCGAAGGAAAAATCAAAAACACTTAGAAAAACCGAAACACAGTGGCCTAATCTTAAAATGTAAGTCGTTTTAAAATCTAAGGCTCCGGCATCATAAAAGTAGACCTTTAAATTGGATAAATTCGAAAAACTTGAATAAGCCGAAACGCAGTGGCGTAATCTTTAAATGGAGGTCATTTTCAAAATCTACGACTCCGGAAACATAAGAATACACTCTTTTATGATAAAAATTCGAAACACTTAAAGAAATCGAAATGCGGTGGCCTAATCTTAAAATGGAGGTCGTTTTCAAAATCTACGGCTCCGGAAACATAAGAATACACCCTCATATGAAAAAAATCCGAAAAACTCAAATAAGTCGAAACGCGGTGGCCTAATCTTAAAATGGAGGTCGTTTTCAAAATCTACGGCTTCAGAAACATAAATGTAGACCTTTATATTGGATAAATTCTAAAATCTTAAATAAGTCAAAACACATAAAATGGATGTCATTTTCAAAATTTACTGATCGGGAAACATACAAATACACCCTTATATCGAATAAGTCAAAAAAACTTAAATGATTCGAAACGCAGTCACTTAATCTTAAAATGGGGGTTATTTTCAAAACTAGGTACTGGACAGCATAATACTAGTCCCTAATAAATCCGAATAGGTACAATAAATCGATATCTGTAAGTGAAAATTCTACTTAGGAGAGCATAATAATAGACTTTCATATTGGAGGGGGGGAGGGGATGGCCATTATTTTTAAAAAAATATATAAAATTTACAAAAAATTAAAACATTAATTTGAAATGGAAAAGGTTGAATTTGACTTGGAAAAGGTTGAATTTGAAATGGAAAAGGTTTAATTTGACTTGGAAGAAGTTTAATTTGATCTGGAAAAGGTTGAATTTGACTTGGAAAAGGTTGAATTTGACTTGGAAATGACATAGAAATATCAAACTGAAAAAATCTAAAATGTTAAAATAAATGGATATGCAACCGCGTTATCAATTTTTTTTTTGTATTTTTCAAAAGCTATGCCTTCGATAATATAGTAAGTGGCCTTCATTTCGAAAAAAATCGAAAATTGACAAAAATTCGAAAGTTGAATTTGAAATGGAAAAGGTTAAATTTGACTTGGAAAATGTTGAATTTGAAATGGAAAAGGTTTAATTTGACTTGGAAAAGGTTGAATTTGATTTGGAAAAGGTTGAAATAGACTTGGAGATGCTATATGTATCAAATACATCCTGACGATGTAAATTTAAAATATGGAAATAAGTTTTGGACTACGTTTCATTCCTAATGCGTGCTAATATTTATCCTGGTTCTACATTTTGATCAATATGCTCGGGAAAAAATATCCTTGGCTGAATTATACTCTCCTTTTGGTTTTAGTTCTGTAATGTGGTGTTTAATTATATTTATTATGATGGTTTTCCATTCATGGCCAATTCGACAGTTGTTCCACCACCTTTAGCCATTTGAAAGATGATCACTAAGTATGTAGTTATCTGAGAGATAATCTGAAACAATATACATATCTATTAAAATAGCTGATTTGGCACAAGTGCATAAAATTCTGTGTAAAAAAAGCAAAGGTTTATATAATTTTATATTTGATCTAACTAATACAGTGTTAAAGTAAAAAATAATAAAAAAACAATCCCAAAAACATAATACAAAAAAAAACAACAATGCAAAACATAAATTTTGATTCCCTGAATTCATGTTAGATTCATATCCAGAAAAATATATTAAACAATCTGTGGTGGTGTGTGAATCAGGTAACCTTAATTTTTCACCCTACTTTTATTTTTTGTACTCTGGGAACTTCAAATATTTACATTGAAAATTCAGATTGGAAATTTTCATCTCAATACTTTCTTTTCCCATGTATTTTATAAATAGGTAAGTAGAAGTAAAAATTAGTATTTTACGTTTTTTATAGCTCATTTAATACTGAATTAACCATTTCATTTAAAAAAAAATTTGAGGGGTTTACACCTAAAGAAGATGGCGGACCATTATGTTAGAAGCTAAAGTTTTGCTGGCATCTCTTGTGTTCTTTTTGATTCATTGGTTGGAGAAATGCTTGCTACAACTTTTTCTAACTCATCATCAAGAAAACATCCTTTTCATTTTGTTCGGTTGATGCACTTTAATAATCGTGTTATTGTAATCAAGGAATTCTGAGGCGCATTAACGGATCCAGGATTTAATTTTGGGGGGTCTTCAGCCCGAAAGATTTTTAATTTGTATGTATATATTAGGATAATTACTTCGGAAGAAAGAAACTAACTACCTATATGAAATGGTGTTTAAGTGATTCTTTAAGTCCTATTAAATGTAATTAGACCAACAATAATTCAATCATTTTTACTATTATATTGTTGTATTTTACCATTTTGGGGAGGACTTCAACCCGAAAACCCCTCTCCCCCCCGCAGATCAGCTTGTGCTGACGCGTAGTACAGATATTCCTCGGTTAACGAATCGGAGGCAGTGAAGACTTTAGAAGTAATGTCTTTATTCATAATGTTGTAAATGGCATCTAAAATACAGAGTAATATAATATGGATATATGAGTTGACTACATGAGTTCACTCCAGGTCTCCTGCAGTAAGAGACATCAAGAGAATAATCTACATGAGTGATTAGGTCTTAGAAGGATGATGGTTATATGCTCAGGAATAGTTGAGGGGATGAATCAATTCTGGACGGTCTAGGAAGCGTGTGAATGAAGTTAAGAATTGATATCCTTATCTTTTAGAATTGATATGAAGTCTGTGAGAAAGTGCTCGTTTGTTGAAAACGGTTATTATTCCCTAAGTCTTGATAAGTGTCTTCTGTCCAGTCAGTACATTCTAGATAATTATTTCTTAGCTGTAAGAGATGGCTTGACCTGGCTATCTACGGTAAAGATCATGAGAAAGGTCAATGCATGATTAAATGATTAAATTAAATAAAAGTTAATATTAATAGTTGTTACGGATTAAGTCCATTCCGTAACTCTCGTTAATCTGAGTCAAATTTATTATTAATTTGTTTTCAGCTGGACTGACTGTGAAACCAATACCGACTGTTCCATTTTTGTTATTTCTCGGTTTAGACAATGTGTGGCTGTCAGATGTATTTTTACCACTTTGTGCCAATAATTCATATCTCAGGGATGGTTAATTGTATGTTGTACCCTTTTATTTCATGTGCTATCGTTTGGACGGCTCTAGACCTCTAGACTGAGTTTGCTCCTAACATTCTATGGTCCAATAACGAAATAGTCATACCAAGGCTGGTTCCATATTAAGTTGGTTAATATGAAAGTCAGATTTCTGTGGTAAATAAAATAAATTTTCATATGTTTTTTTTTAAACTATAGTGAAGGGAAACAAAAACTAAGTAAAGGAACTGTGCTGTGAAATAAATGAAAAACATTTTACTAACCGAAAACATTAGGGAGTTATCAAGTGAAAATAAGCCACACGCAGTGAAAATAGGTTCTTCATGAGCCATAATATGGAAGTCGAGCAGCTCCTTTAAAATAAATCCCATTCAAATTATTCATTAGTCTGTTAGCTCGTGCTAAAAAAAACATAACTAATGAATTGCTTAATACCTACATTGTTAAGGAGTTCAACAGATTTGTTCTTCGCCATTTTCCAGTAAAGGTCCTCGTTGAATTTTTTAGCCTGTTAATATTTTTAATATTTAATATTTTTTGACTGTCATTTTATAGCAATGTTATGGTTCAACATAAGCTTTTTAAAAAGTAAAGCACCTCAACAAACCGAGAAGGGCCTTATAGAAGGCAGTGGAAATGCTGTTAGTGTTTTGATTTTTAGAACCACCTAACCTATTTATTTAGTGACCAACGTTCAATTTCGATTTATTATTTTCAATAATGAACCATTGCACTAGCGGATCCAGGATTTAATTATGGGGGGGGGGCTTCAGCCCGAAAGATTTTTTTTTCATAAAAATAACGATAATCACTTTGGAAAAAAGAAAGTAACTACCTGTATGAAATGGTGTTTAAGTGATTCCTAAAGCCCTTTTAATATTAATCATACGAACAATAATACTTTAAGAGATACGTTTTTTATATTTATTTCGATAAAATATGGTTATATTTTGCCATTTTGGGGGGTGGGCTTCAGCCCGAAAGCCTCCCCGTAGATCCGCCCGTGAACCATTGTAATCATTCCAAAATTTAATCCTCCCTCAAAATTGGAGGTTTTACGTTACAAGATAGGTTGAATTAGAAAATGGAATAAAAAAATTTTGTTCAGACGGCGGACGGACAAAATATTGTTTATTCGATTTTCGAATTCTACATATCGTGAAACGTAAAACCCCAAATTTTGAAAATCCATGTTGCCACCAGTTGCAAAAATTGTCCTTCGGCAGGTCTTTAATTGACGGATTATTTAAAACCGATTTGTCCAGGACTGGGTACATACATACTCTAGGAGTAACTGTTTAAAATGTCTACAATCAAAAATGTTTCTGTAAAGATGACTTGTTGAAATGATTTTTCCGTGTTAGTAATAACTCTGTGATTCATTCTCGCAGTTTTCTCCAGTCCGTTCAAGTAATGGAATATTTATTAAAAAAAAAAAAAAATAAAAAAATAAAAAAAAATACCGTTAATACATTTTTCTTTAATGTTACAAAATTAATACTGAAAATATAATCCATTGCGGTGCACTGTCATTTACATGTTTTGGCCAGTTGCTTGATCCCTTGCAGCTACCACCTATTTGGATGGCTATCGAAAAATTTCTAATCTGCTGTTTCGACTTCGTGAAATTATGAAATGTTTTTGTTTTCAAGAAATGGGCCATGAATAAAATAAAAATCTGATGGAGCAAGGTCGGGACTGTATGTATGGTGGTTGTGGAAGAAGTTCGATACCATCAATGTATTTAAAAGTTTCTTTGATCTTTTCCTTTCGGAAGTATGCGGCGGGGTTATTAATTAAATAATAGTAAATCAGTAAACAATCAAGCCAAAAACAATGACCGTTTTGTAAAAAGAACTAACCTTGAATACATTCATACCTATGTACAATATTTTCAATCTGCCCTTTATGATTTCTAACTCCCTCTTTCCCTTCCACTCACATTAGGATGACAGATTAGGATTACAAGAGATTCCCGTGACGTCACTGGCATTAAAAGCATTTCATTGAAGGCTGAGTGATGAGACTAAAGCGACAGACGCTCAGGACAATAATTTTATATGGGAAGATTCAGCTTTGAGATGCTTAATACGTTCATGAGTAAACTAGGAATTTTTGGTTATTAAGATAAAACAATAAAAAAACTGACTTTGTTTGCCTTTTATTCTATTATTAAAGATATTATATATATATATATATATATATATATATATATATATTTTTATAATAAGTATATATATAAGTAATATATATATATATATATATATATATTTATATATATGTAATAACCACATCAAAACTTATATTAAAAAAATCATTGTGTATTGGATTTGATATTACCTTCTGAATCACGTAGTTACACGATCTAATGGTTGAAAAGGTTGGCAAAGAGAAAAAGCAGATCCAAACAACATAGAGGATATTCAAATAAATTTGTCCTGGAAATGCCGGGTAGAAGAGAAGATACAAGTGTGTGAAGCATATGATCAGACCCCACATAATTATTAGAAGAACTGGTACTTTGTACAACATCCACACGTCATCGTATATCCTTGATATAAATTGATACCACCTGACGGAGCTTTCATAATTTTTCAAGTTCAGTAGCCTGTTGTAGGTTGATGCCAAATACTGTAACAAGATGCTAAGCTGTCCGCTGAGTACAAACGCAAACGAAATATTTATTAGAAACACTGCATATCCGCAGAAATTTCTTATTGTTTTGATTTCTATGTATCCTTGGGAAACTGTCATAAAAAAAATTAATGAATAACAAATGCTTATTTCTTTAGGGAACCAATTTAACTCTTTGTCGTAACAAACTCCCTTCTGTAATTTGTAAACTTTTTTTTTAATCAAAATTATTAAACCCCTATGGTAAGTTAACCAAGCCATCGACAGAAGGCTCTGCATTAAACCGCCCATTCCGGTAATAATAAGGACTATGATGTCCGTTTCTTCGTTTGTGACTGTAATGGTCCTGGAGGATAGTCCACGTACAGGATTTAATATGCAGAAAACAGTCATAAAGGTAGTGATGGCTAATAAGCAAATTGTTACTGCCATTATTATCGGGTAAAGTTTTTGTTGAGGATCAAACAAGAAAGGTAATGGTTTCCGAAGCCGGATTTGGAGCTCAGTGCCCACCATTTCATTCCCTAAAGGTAGCAAAATCACCACTGCATATGCTGAAATATCGATTTAAAGGCTCATGTGTTTAGAATATAAACATCTAATACATCCTATCAGGTCCACTGACAGTATTGAAAATAATATTTATTCTATAAACAAGATCCTACAACAATCTATCTTCCATTTCTAAATTAGAATGTTAATAATCTTTTTCATTTACTATACAACAAATATTGTTCTCATACTCTTAGAGACCGTGAAAAAAAAAAATCGAGACTATTTAATGGATAGTTTGAAAGCATTTTTTTGAATATTTATAGCATTTACTTTAAATAAATGAGATTTTGCCAGTTCGATATTGGTACCGGTAAAAATGATAGATGATTTAAAGAATATTTTTCGAAAATTGTGGGAAAAGTTTTTATTTTTTTAACTTGTATATTTTGGTTTAGACATGTGAAAAATAAAATTGCTAACGTGGGTCACCTAGAGAAAACTTTTTATAGAAAAAAATTTTTAAGTTTCAATGTAGGTCACTTACTTCTCTCGTAATCGGCACTGAATATAAATGTTATAAATACTAAATAAAAATGCTTTTAAAGTTTTCATCAGATAATATTTTGCACGGACTTTCGGACTATTAAAATTATCCATTTTATATGGGGTTGGCTTTATAGTACTAGTGTTTTAAAATTACTTTTTAAGACAGGGAATAAAAATACTTTATTCCTATATGGGCTTGCTTTATGGTTAAAAAACTAAACTTAATTATGTGTAATCAACTTTATTATTCCTGCATAAATAAACGAATGATAATGAGGACCAAAGTTATGTTAGTTCCTCGAAATCCTTCTGTTACTTCATTGACGCCTCCAACAGGCCCATGTCGTTTTACCTCCCTGATTATGTTCTGGGTCGCGGGAGGAGAGCTCTAGTTATCTTCTGTCTTCGATGATGTAAGCTAGGGCGTTGTTAGGACGGCTATGGACGATGTCCAAGCCGCTGAAGATCATGTCTGTGTCATCATTCCTATAAACTGAAATAATAACATTTTGTTAAATGCTAATGATTAAATGTTCTGTGTATAATGAAATGTATTTGATTAAATGGAAATTAAAGCAAAGTCATCGATAAAAGTATATAACTATAATTGTTATTAAAAGTTGCATTATGCTTCAATTCTCTTTCAGCTCAATAATTTAAATACTTCGATCATATCAAAGAAACGATACTAACGCTCACAGCGTTAATTTATTTATTTGTTGTTTTGGTTAATAAATGTGTTTTAATTTATTTTCATTTAGTTTTAAATATTTGATTCTGAATATAATATTTTAACTTAGAGAGAGAGAATCACTTTGTTATAATAAAATGGTGCTGCCCAATGACATTGGGTTGCTAACAACACAGCATACTTATTAATCACTACAGACAATTTTTAAAAATAATATACAATTATATAGGATTAATAATATGTATGAGCATAGTATATTAATATGAATATATACATATATATATATATATATATATATATATATATATATATATATATATATATATATATATATAGATATAGATCCATATATGTATTATTATTTTTTTTTTGTATATTTTCTTTTTTCTTTTTACTATTTCTTTCATTCATTTATTATCATTCTACACCCTTTCTCTTCCTTCTCTCCCCTTGTACATTTTTCCTACTCCTCATATTATCTCCTCTCTCTTTCTAACCTAATTCATAAAAATACATAAAGTACAGTGGACGTGTTCAATAAATAATAACATAAAAATGCCTCTCCCCCAAAAACAATGAAAAAACAAAATAAGAATGAAATCAGCTCTTTTAATTGATAATGTACAGTTAGTCATAGTACATATGTATAGATTCGATTGTTGTAGTATGCAATATAATGATTATTATGAATGTTTTAATTATTAAGTCCATGGCCTTCGTGAACTAGGGTGTCTGCCTCAGACCTTTATTGGAGGCTGATTTTTACTAACTGCTATTCTGCCCACATGTAGTTTTGAATGAGTTATGCCACAGTCCTTCACTGCGGACTCACTATTTTATTGCTCGTTTCAGTTTTACAGAAAAATATGAGCGCTCATAAAATATTTATATGAAGCCTATAAGAAGATAAGGTTACCTGTTTATCCATTTCTACTGACCGTCACCTGCTTGCGGCCACATAACCTCAGTAAGCAAGCCTACTGACCCCTGCCGACCGTTGCTTTGTATTATACTATACAAGTATGAAAAAAGTTGTTTCCAGAGAAGTAAATGTCCTCTCCAGACCCCTTTTGTCAAAAACGGGTCCCACTTCAGACAAAAGCTGAGGG